GAACCCAAAATGGCCGCTGGCTACAAAATGCCAAGTCATTTTCAACAACCTTGAAAAACGGACGAGCTTGAATACTGTCATATTCTGTCCCTACGTAATGCCCGGTTGTTTTGAAAAACCCTTCATTGAGGGACACACGTTCCTTACAAAATGCCTCTGTTGTTTTTCAAAGCCAAGGTTTGGACCATGTTCTTTTGCTACAAAATACCCATTTGATTTTGATAAACCCTTATGAAGCTCATGAGGTTTCTTACAAAATGCCACTGCGATTTTCATGATGGGCTAACATGATTAAAATGATTCCGTTATAAAATGAGATTCACAAGTTTAAGCTACAAAATCTTGGACCTGGATTTCATGTCACGGTTAGCCTGACTGAAATGGAAGCCTCTGTAAGAGGCACAAGGCCGCCAAGGCCGCCAAGGCCGCCAAGGCCACAAACTTTGTAGCTTAAATTCGTGGGTGTTGATTGCATGCCATGCAACCCATGGAACATGTCCTTTTGCAGATTCTTGCAGCAGCTCTTTAAACAGAGAAGACTGCCTCATTGATTCATTCTGATTCAGCATTTCACATTTCACCTCTCCTTGCCTTGACGGCTTAAGTGGGAGGGAACTTTGGCCAGATCCGATTGCGGCGCGGAAAACTTCGAGCGCTTCCGCTACTTTGTGGCAGAGAACTTCGTGTGTCTTGCCCCAATTGGTTTTGCCTCCAATTGATATTGGTAGGCGGAGCCTGAGCCTTTGGGTTTGGGCTTCAACAACTGCTGCGCAACTCCATTTACTTTGACATCACCATCTCCTTCTACCTTCACCTTCCTGACTCCATCTACTACACATCAACTTCCTGGACTCTTGCTTTGGCTTGATCTCTGAGACCAAAGGTACAGCGATCTCTGAGCCAGTGGATGCCACCGCAGGCCAAGCCTGGAACTCCACGTGCTGCCAAACAAGCACGGCAAGGAACTGCAGGCACAATGTCCACGGCACAGTCCAGTCAGTTTGATAGTGGCATTACCAAGGATTCGTTTATTCCACTGTTTGATGGCCAGCCAAGTTCGTATCAGGAGTGGAGGAAACGGATCAATATTTACCATTTGAAAATGGGTCTTCAGAAACGAAAGGCTGAAAGCATTTTGAACATCATTGGATCTCTTCAGGGTACTGCATGGCGTTTGGTTGAGAATTTTGACCTCACAAAGATCGATGAAGATGGCACTTTCGAGTCTCTGTTGAAAGTGCTTGACAAGGCATTTCATTACGATGCCCGTGTTAGATTGCCTCAGGATTTTGATGCCTACTTCACTCACCTGAGCCGCCGACCAGGTGAAACCTTGCTCAACTTTGTGACTGACCATGATGAGAAGCTTCGCAAGATTGAAGAGCACGGCATCCAGATCCCTTCAGAGATCCAAGGATGGCTTTTGCTGAAGAAGGCAAACATCATCAAGGAGCAGCGTCAGATGATCATCACTCAGGCACCAAAGTTGGAGAAGTTGAAGGTACAGGAATCCCTGTACCTGATTTTGGGACAGGACCACAAGTCTGCTGTCTCTCACGACCACCATCGACGAGCGGGCTCCGGCCGACTTTTTCGTCGTGGTGCCTACGCTGCCTTGGATGATGACGAGCTTCCTGACGAGCTCTATGAGCCTGACGAAGAGGGGTATTTTGAGTATGACGACGTTTCTGAATATGCGGCCAACGATGATGGTTGGTTTGACGATTCGTTTGATGCCCAAGCTGCCTACTATGAAGATTCTGAACATGGACATGCTGCGGCTGATGAAGCCTTTGACACTGAGCAGTACGATGAGGCATTTGCGGCATACTTGGATGCTCGTCGTCGCTTCCAAGATTTGAAACTCTCAAGGGGGTTCTACCCCGTTGTGGCCGTTGCTGATCAAGGTGCTCTACCAGTTGCCTCTTCATCTCAGCTACCTGTTGGAAAAGGGAAAGGCACTGGCGGGGGAAAATCCAAGGGGAAGCCAAAAGGCCGTGGCAAGGCCTCCAACGTTGTGAAGTATGCCAGGCCTCCTCAAAAGGCCGTGGATCCCCGCGGCCGTGCCTCAGCTGTGTTGCAATGCCTACGTTGTGGAGCTTATGGTCACCAAGCTGCACAGTGTCCCAAGCCGCAGAAGCATTCGGGGCCACCGTCACAGGCCCCCGGTCCAAAGAAGCAGAACACCACTGAAGGCATGGCAGTCTCTCAACTTCCAACTGAATGTGGCCATGTCATCTTTGAGGACACCAACGGACAGCCCAGAGTTGACTGTACGATGCTTGATCCTGGTGCGAGCGCTTTCTTGATGGGAAGCGGGCCATTCCACCGCTATGTGGATCACTTGCGTGAACTTGGATACCCAGTGGACTCCATCGAGATGCAGAGAACCAATCGCACCTTCCATTTCGGTGGCGATCATTCCACAACAAGCCATTGGGTTGCCAAGGTTCCGATGTTCATCAACTGCGCCTTTGGATTTGCACAGGCGTTCATCATCAAGGGAGAAACTCCGATGCTGATGGGCCGCCCCATCATTGAAGAGCTCGGCATCGTCGTCAACTTCAAGCGGCGATCAATGATGTTTGAAGGACACCCTTGGCGACCTATCACTATGGGTTTGCATGGTGAGTACCTCATGTCCCTCACCGAGGACTTTGACTTCGAGCTCATCGGCCAGATGCCTGCCTTTGACCTTACCTTGATGGAAACTCAGACTCCTGGCGACCCACCACAGGTCCTGGACTTTTTGACCTACCAGAAGTCTGAGGGCATCTACACGACCACTGATGCTGACTGGGCCGAGGGTGACCGCGGAAGATCATCCTGAAGCATTGGAAAACTTTTGAGAATGCCCTTGCAACTGCTGAGAACCAGATCAATCGCATGGTCACTCAGGAGCTCCATGATGTTCAACCACGACCACGTTTGATCTGGGAAGTTTATGCTGGCACCTCCAGAGTCAGCGAAGTTGCATCAGCCCTCGGTTGTGAAGTTTGCACATTTGGGTATGAAACAGGTTGGGATTTCGATCGTGCTTCCGATCGAGCTGCACTCCTCCACAAGCTTGACGAGGACATGCCCGATGAGATACTTTTGGCTCCTCGTTGTGCTCTCTGGTCTCGCATGCAGGCCATCAGTGCAACCACCTCTGAGCGACAAGCCCTTCTGCAAGAACAACGACAGCTTCACCACGACATCCATTTGGATTTTTGCAGGAAGATTTATCTTCGGCAAGTTCGTGGTGGCCGTCATGCGCACCTGGAGCAGCCCCACACTGCACTCAGTTGGCACACAAAGAATCTGAAGTCCTTGCCTGGGTTTCGCACAACGTTTGATATGTGTCAGTATGGAGCCTGCTGCTTAGATGTTGATGGGGTTTGGCGATTGACTCGCAAGACCACTTCCTTGCAGACCACGAAACGAGCTGTTGCCCAAGCACTGCAACTTCGATGCGATGGATCCCATGAACACTGCAGACTCGAAGGCAAGATGCCTGGTTCCGGCAGGTCTCGTACCTCTTTCATGGAGGACTATCAACCAACGATGGCTGCTGTTTTGGCCGCCGCTCTGGCTGCCCCAGAACCTCCTGCTTTCTGGGAGGAAGCCCATGCTGTGAATGAAGAGAAGTTGATCCAAGGTCAACTGATTCAGCTGATGACCACCAACAAGGCCGAGGCCATTCGAGCAGTTCAGCGGCTTCACCGCAATTTGGGTCATCCTACGACCACTGCCTTGGTTGAGATGCTTGAATCCAGACAGGCCTCTGAGACAGTTGTCAATGTTGCTCGCACGTTCCAGTGCCAAGCCTGCCTCAAGTACAAGAAGCCGAATCAAGCTGCACCTGCTTCAATGAAAACGGTGTTCCGTTTCAATCAGAGCATCCAGGCTGACACCATGTGGATCAAAACCGGTGACAACAAGATTCCGGTATTATCCATTGTGGATGAAGGTACCAAGTTCCAAGGAGCCTGCGTGATCGACACTGAGAAGGCCGAGCACTACATTCAATCCTTGGAGCGTCACTGGATTGCTCACTTTGGGACCCCCCAGCGTCTCATTACCGACGAGGGGAGGGGATGGCTGCATGATGACTTTGCGGCATGGACTGACTCTTTGAACATTCAACATGTTGTAGCTGCCGGAGAAGCCCACGAACGGCTGTCTCTTGTTGAACGGAGGCATGCCGTACTTCGCAAGGCTGTTGAGGTCTACCTGATGGATTTTGGAATGAGTGGTGCCTCGGCAGTTCGACAAGCCCTTGCATATGTGGTGCCTCAGATGAACAACAACCCTGGCACCTCTGGTTTTTCACCTGCACAATGGGCACTCGGACAGTCACCGTCCTTTCCTGGCGAACTGCTTGGCAACAACTTGAATCCAGTCCATCTTGGCGCCACCTTTGAAGATGAGCTCTCCCGACGTGCTGTGGCGAAGATGGCAATAGTCCAAGCAGACACAGACCAGAAGTTGCGCCGTGCCCTGCTTCGGCGATACGCCGGCACAAATGTGCTGTTGGCCCCAGGCCAACCCTGCTTCTACTGGCGTGATGCCAGAGCAACCGACTTGGAGAAGATCAGATGGAAGGGGCCTGCAACTGTCCTAATGAGAGAGGACGACCCTGAAAGTGGGAAGCCCCGCATCTATTGGATTGGGCACAAGTCACAACTGCTCCGTTGTGCGCCCCATCATGTCCGCCCCATCATGTCCGACCTGAGATTGGACGCAGTGCATCCACCTTGCTGGGTGACTTTGAGGTAGCCAAGAACGTCATCCAGAACCTGAAGTCCCGAGGCGTCACCCGCTACACCGACCTGACCATCACGAACAAGCATAGCTTGGATGACGTGGACAGCGACGATGAAGTGCTGGATGATGATGACGATTTGGATGGTGGACCACCACCTCGCCAACGGCGGCGTCTTGTGGACCCTGAGTTTCCAGGCTCACCAGCCCCCTCATTGTCCTACGAGCCTTCCATTCTCAATGAGGAGGTTCCCATGCCTGTTGATGACGAGGTTGGCAATGATGACAACACAGCTGCTGGCTTGCCTGGACTTGCAAGCGACTCACCTGGACTTTTGAGTCATGGCTCACCTGGACTTGGAGCCTCTGTTGGACCAGAACATACCATGGATCTTGGACTTTCAGATCCAGCTCCCATTGGACTTGAGGAGCCTGGTCCCCAGCAGCATCCTGCGCTTCCACTGGACACCTCCATGGATGTCCCCATCAGTGTTGGTGAACCATCAAGAGAACCAAGCCCAACACAAGCCAACAGGCCAACGACCTCTGACATGCCTCCACCTTCCAGCATCCCTTCATCATCACAACCACAATTGGATTCCATCACAGCTTCTTACTACCAGCCTGCAACTGCTGAAGACTTCAGAGCACATCGACGACGGCTACAACAACAAGAGACTATGTCATTTGGACCTTTTCGAAGTCGTCGACAAGCCTCTGAATCAGCACCTCCTGATTCAACACATGGTGAGGGCCCATACACCAAGCCCAAGGAGGACGATGGAGCATCCTTTGTTTTTTCTGCCTTTGATGTCGAAGATTTGGATTCATCGGCACTCCCATCTGGCTGGAAATTTGAAAATGGCTACATTCAGCTCACCGAGCAGCCCAAGGACTATTGGGAGATCAAGAGCGGATGCCTGATTCGGCACCATGTGGTTCCTCGAAGAACTCGCTTTGATCCGAACAAGATGTCAGAGAAGGACAAGAGCCACATCCCCATCACCTTGGACAAGCTTGACCCTACTAGAGAGACAGTTTGCACTGGACCAAACGAGGTCAGACACTACCACGATGTCATTGGCGACTTGTCCTCAGCAACGAACAAGCCATGGGTGGGCTGCACCATCTTTCAGATCAACGGCGCCACAAGACAAGAGTTAGGAATGACTGCCTACTCTGTCTCTTCGGCGAAACAAGTTGGGAAGAAGCAGAAAGTAGTTGCCCAACGCAAGATACGCAAGGACAACAACAAGAACGACATCTCAGAGCGCAAACTTAGTCTACAAGATCGACTACTTTTTCAGCAGGCCAAGATGAAGGAGTTGGCTTCGTTTTTCGAAAACGGGGTGTGGACTTTTGAAACCACCCGAGAAGCCGATCCCAACAGAACTATGAGCAGCCGCATGCTACTCAAATGGGCCAAACAGCCAGATGGCTCACCCCGAGCAAAAGCTCGCCTAGTGGTTCGGGGTTACACAGACGCTGATGCGCTGGCTGGCAGATTGGACACGGCATCACCTGCCTCAACTCGATTGGGGCGTGCTTGCCTCCTCAGCATTTCAGCCAATTTGCACTGGTGCGGCTGGAGCGCTGATGTCACGACAGCCTTCTTGCAGGGGTTACCACAAGAGCGCAAGCTATGGGTTAAATTGCCTCCAGACGCGCTTCGACTTCTGGGCGGTGATGAAAACACCCGCATGCTCCTGATCAAGCCAGTTTATGGGCAGCTGGATGCACCAAAGCGATGGTACTTGGAAGCAACCAGAAGATTGACTTCACTTGGCTGGACACCTCATCCTTTGGATCCTTGTCTCTGGCGTTTGTTTGAGCCTGCAACCGAAGGTGAATGCCCTGTTCTTTGTGGACTTTTGACCCTCCATGTTGATGACATGTTAGGAACAGGGAACCCTCAGTCCCAAACATACATGGCTGCTGAAGCTGCGTTGAAGCAAGCGTTTTCTTTTCGCACATGGCAGAAAGATGAGCCTTTTGAGTATTGCGGTGCGAAGATGTACCGCGATGATGACGGCACGTGGCATGTGGACCATCAGAGTTACATCAGCAAGATCTCTCCTCTACCCTTGGAAAAGAGCAGACAGCCTCACCAACCTATGTCTGACAGGGAGCATACTATGTTGCGACAGTTGCTGGGTAGCTTGCAGTGGCCTGCCGTGCAGTCATCACCACACCTCCAAGCTTCCACTTCACTTTTGAGTGGTGAGATGAGTTCTGGACTTTCAAGCCCCTTGCTCGAAGCAAATCGGCTGCTGCGGTTTGCAAAAAAGCAACAGTGATGTACACCTGCGATTTCCACCACTTGGAGACCTGAAGGATTTGAGGATCACTTGCATGTTTGATGCAGCACTTGGTGTACGACACGACGGTTCCAGTCAAGGGGGGTTTCTCATTCTCTTGACACACAAAGATGCCTATGCAGGAGTTGAATCTCCATATCATCTTTTGGAATGGCGCAGCATGCGACTGCCTCGAGTGGCACGTTCCAGTCTTGCAGCAGAAGTTCAATCAGCTGCAGCAGCAGTGGATAGCACCGAGTTTGTGGTGCGGTTTTGGCAAATGATGATGGATCCCCGATTGACTTTACGGGAAACCTTGCAGATCACAAACACGACCTTGACTCCAACCTTCATCACAGATGCCAAGGCCTTGTACGACAGTTTTCATCGAGACAGCATCAACCATGGCGCGACTGACAAACGCACCAACCTTGAGCTTCGAGTGATCCGCGAACAAGTTGAAAGTGTCGGTGGCTTGCTCAAATGGATTTCATCTGAGCGACAGTTTGGAGATGGCTTTACAAAAGTTGCCGCTCGACAATTACTGAGCGACAGGTTGAGACATGGAGCCATCAAGTTTACCTTTGACCCAGAGTACACGGCCTCCAAGAAGAAGACAGCTTCTCAGAGAGCCAGGAGCAGACAGGAATTTTCAACAACTACCACCAACACTCACCACAACACCACACACAACCTTTCTACTGAAGCAGCAGAAGAAGGTACGCATGATGACCGTCCGCAGTGGACTGAATCAATGGACGTTGACGAGATCTATGGCTCCGTGGATGAGAAACATCTCTGCGAAGAGCAAAGACTCCTTGACGATGCGCACGTCTCGGTGGATGAAGCCACTTTTGTCGAGACCTTTGTGCCTCAGAATGTCCTGCACTCTGACCTCTATGACGTTTCTGACCCCATGCACTCTCCTGAGAATGTCCTGGCCTCTGCCGAGTCCCTTGACCCCGCGAATGACCTAGTGACTGAGAATGCCAACACGTTTGTGAATGCCCAAGCTCCTGCGGAGACCTTTGTTCCTGTGAATGTCAAAGCCCCTGTGGAGAGCTTTGCCCGGGCGAGCAATGTCGCGCGGCCTTGTCTAAAGTATGTCATGGCGCTGTCACTGCTGGCTGGTTGCGCGGGCGACCCCCTGTGGCCAATGGTGGACAAACACCACGACTGGCGTGATCAATGTGCGCTGGGCGAAAACTCGAGCGCGACTGCTCACACTGGTTTTCACTGGATTTGGGTGATCTTCCTTTTCAACCTTGTCTTTTCCGTTTGCTGTTTTTGTGCCGCACTTCTGATGAGACGCCGATGGTTGGAAATGGATCGAGCACGGCTTGAACTATACCGTCAAAATGAATACTTCCGTGCTGAGATCAGGAAACTTCGTAATGAAATCATAGACGTTGACTGGCAAAGACAAGACCTGCAGTTGAAAGTTTTGGATCATGACAGGATCCGCAGTGAAGAGCGAGAAGAAGATCAAAGGGTCGTTCGAAAGGCCAGTGGTCTACTTGACCGCATTTTGGTGGAGCTCGAAATCTTGACAGGTTTCTTCATCTATACCACCCCACGAGGGGAATGTTGGCATAGCTCTGATCGATGCACCCATTTGCGAAATTCTGAGAGAGTGCGACGTAGAAGAAGCTGCTCTGGTTGTCATCATGATTTCCTGCCACCCTGGACCAGACATCCAGACTCAGGAACCACATTCTTTGAAGATTGTGCAGCTTTCTTTCACCAACATGGACGTTGGGACTACATGCAGACAGTCATAGAGTGAGAGCCGGACATGTTTTTCTTTTAAGGACTTCCCTTCCGTGTTGATTGCATGCCATGCAACCCATGGAACATGTCCTTTTGCAGATTCTTGCAGCAGCTCTTTAAACAGAGAAGACTGCCTCATTGATTCATTCTGATTCAGCATTTCACATTTCACCTCTCCTTGCCTTGACGGCTTAAGTGGGAGGGAACTTTGGCCAGATCCGATTGCGGCGCGGAAAACTTCGAGCGCTTCCGCTACTTTGTGGCAGAGAACTTCGTGTGTCTTGCCCCAATTGGTTTTGCCTCCAATTGATAGTGGGGATATACATATATGTATATATATATATGTGTGTATATATATATATATATGTATATATATATATATGTACATATATATATATATTACATATCATCACTATAAGCACAATCAGAAAAAATCTCACGAGAGATCACAACGACCGTTTGTGGTTTTTTATCGGATCTCTCAGACTGCTTGGAGCAGGCACGGTGTCTCCAATGAGCGAAGTCAACAGCCCAACGGCTCCACTGGCCTGGGGTAAAACCATGCCATGTTTACCACCCATGACTGGGAATTGTTGAAAAACCACCTATTAGTATGGCATTGTTTTACCCACATGATTTTTTTATGGTACATCAATGTGGCTGGTTTTCTGTTCTAGAATCTCTAGAATGTTCATAAATGAGATATGAAAACTGGAGATCTATACATTATATATTATATATCTATGGATGTTCATACCCCCCAGATGATTGGGTTCGCTTTATGACGAGGCTTAGGTTCCTGGTTAGTAGGTAGCCCTATGTTGGACCCTGGACCCACCAAACCCTGGAGCCCTTGCTGCCCTATTGGTGGCATCTTTTTCTTGGGAACATGGTGAAATGATGATGATCTAATGTTCAAGTGTGATTTTTTGGGGGGAACCCCTATTTTGCACATATCCAGCATATCCATGTTCAAAAAGGGAAATGTCAGGACTTGAAGCTCGGAGAAATGGAGGTACAAGAAGATATAACCCAAAATGTGGCCAGGTCGGCAAGATGCCATTGCTAGTCGACGTTGGCATGGGAAAACGATCCACGCTTCTTGTCGGCCCCCGTTCATAAACGCTTCCCATGTTGGGCTGCGCGGAACACACTGCAGGAAGCAAAGGGTTCACAACTGATCAAGCCTCGAATCCTGGGATTTTTCACACACTTTTGTCCATCACACTGGGATCCGGTCCTGGGAAGATTTGGCATAGGATCCAAAGGTCTCTGGCGCCTGCAGGAAACCGGGCAGGGGCACTCAAATCTTGGATTCTGGGTGTGTCTGAAAATAGGATATCTCCCGAGATTGCCACATGTTTATGGGGAAAATGATGTTCCTAACCAACAAAATGTTGGGGACGTTCCGGAAAAAAAATCTGGTATACCGGGTATACCAAACCCGGAGACATCAAAGGACTTTTTGCAGTGAGTTCTCACACATCGCAAGCGAGAGCCGCCTTGACTGTGGCAGACCCTGTGAAACTTCGCAACTTCGCAGCGGCAGAACGTTTGCACGGACATGGCTGTCCAGTCGTGTCCAGTCGTTTGCATGGGTCCAAATTGAATAATTGCCCCAAACTACAAATGACAAGTCTATCCATGGCCCCCAAAAAAACAAACTGACCGATTACAGCTGAAGTGTTATTCCCACTGTTGAGCCATTGGTTCTGTTGCCGCAACGCCGGTGTGGGACGCGGCTCAGTCGTAGCGTGTGGCATTGCGCCGCAGGATGTCCTGGTGTTTTTTCGACTGCCAAAATGGTGCATCTTCAGCTGACTGCTGCTTGGGTTCATGAAAAGATAAGCTGACTGTTTCTCTGCTTCATCTGCCAAAGAATGCACATACGTTATTGTATCATGTGGGTATGGGTCAATACCTATACATACATTTTTAGTGGTACAAGGTTTTGACACACTGCCATGTCGTTGTCTTAATGTGGTTTTCACAATGTCTTCAGAGTTCCCCTGGTTTTTGCTTCATCTGCACGCCACTTGGAGGCGCCCAGATGAGAAATCCATGTCAATTGCTTGGGAAAAAGGGATCAAAAACTACCGACAAACATTCGTGTTTGTGATAAAGGTTTATCATGCTACCAAATAACCATAAATAACCCTTACTTGCATCGTAAGTTTTTATGCCCACTTCTAACTTACTGGTGCTTAGTAGGGATTTTTTTGGGAATGATTCATAATCACTAGTAATAATCATCCCAGCAACCCCCAACAACCCCTCCATTCCCTACTAAGCACCAGTAACCATATATCAGAAATATCAAGTATTACAGCCCGGTTACCCTCTGGTGATTTCGCATAGCCACGGAAGTCATGGCCCAGAGAAAAAGATGAACATGATGATTTGCCGTTCTTGAAAATGGTGATTTTCCAGTTCGTTACGTTAATCATGTCCAAAGGGTAGTAGTTATCCCATTAACTCACTACCTTTTTCTCAGCATAAAATCACTGGTTAAATCAGTTAAAATCCCATTGAATCCCTTATTTTGCAGTCTTCGAAAACCAAAAATAGATAAAAAAATAGAAATATATATATATATCATTCTGATTTACGGTACCTATGGTTTCAATGCTTTTCCAGATCGTCACCAAGGTATCTCTGGAACACCCCCAGCCGCCTCCAAGGGCCCCAACAGGCGATCAAAGGTGCGCCGCGACAGCGCCAGGCATCGGCAGGTCGCGGAGGCACAGGTGATGCTGGCAGCGCGCAGGTCGTTGTTCAGCAAGGCCAACTCGCCAAAGTAGTCCCCGTGGCCTAACCTGCCATGGCTTTGGAAGGCCCTAATTTTATGTGTGAAATCTGTTTTTGGAAATTTCGGTTAAATCGATGGTGCGAAAATAGTTGGATTGGAAAATGTATGAAAATGTGGGATGACATGATGATTGTGAACATCATTATGGATTGGATCTCATGAAACCCATTCTTGTTGTCTACGTGTAGCGGTGAAGATTTCGTGGGGGAAATCAACGGGAAATCCCATAAGGAAATCTCGTAATATTTTAACCGGTAATGGAAGTTGGAGCCAGAAAATCCCATGGAAGTTGAGGTGATCCAATTTTGGGATCGAAGTTCCATGACCATTCCTTGGGGAAAGGAGGGTTTAAGTCACTGAAAGTCACATAAGGTGTCCACCCTGATCCCAAAGTTGGCTAACTCTGTGACATACCAGGCATCCTACCGGCTGAAGCTCGACGGCCTCATAACCTCTTTTGCTGGTGTGCCAGGCACATACACCTTCGATACCACTGCTGTACCCTCCTGGGAAGCGGTGGATTGCTGTCCAGGAAAAAAGTGCTTCACAGCTATAACCAACAAGAAGGTCCTCCAGCAGGTAGAAGGTCTCGCCAATCTCCCCCTGGCAGGGTGGGTTTACAGTAAGTTCCAAGGAAAAACATAGCATAGAGGTGATGTTTCAAGTTTCAACTCCTCCAAAAAAAGAGTCTACATAAGGCAGTTTTTTCTGGATATCACACATATCTATTTGTTGAAAACAAAATTCTTTAAACCCTCGTGCAAACATTTATAGGTGTGGTTGTGACCCACGTAGATCATCTTCCCACAAGGTGAGATCCCCCGGTGATGTTTCTTGGTTTAGAAACCCCATGAAGTGTATTTATATCAAGTTATATCCCAAAAAAAGCCTGGAATTCACCCTTCTTGATTTTTCACATCTTTCAAACGTAAACCAGCAAGATGTGGCTACCACCATTGTCACATGGATTCTCAGGGATCCCCGCCCACATCTTTCATGACAGGATGGTGCCTCCCAGTTCTGCTGGTTAAACCCCACTAGTTCATTATATCTACCATAAACATCCATAAACCAAGAGTTACCCTCTGGTAAACGTTTAGGTAACTATGGGAAATCACCATGCTATTAATGGCTAGTTATCCACTATTTCGACTGGGCCATTTTCAAGTTCACAAACTGTAAACGTTTACCATTTAGTTCGTGGATTTTCCCATGAATAGCATGGTGATTTTCCATAGTGTTTGGTATGTTTACCAGGCCTGGTACCATAAACATCCAATCCAACCAATATAAACATCAACCCCACTAAATTAAATCGTTATTTTTCTAAACCCCTTTTTTTTACTCTTGGTTTATGGTGATTTTATGCCCATAAACATCCATAAACCAATAAGCCACTGATCAACTGAACGCATTTTCCTTCCCCATCCCTGGTGGACGGGATCTGTGACGGCCTGGTGGACGATGACTTCCCCTTCCCGGAAGGTCACGGGCTGCAAGGCATCGCACAAGGAGCTGCGCTCATAGACCTGGTCTGTGGCCACAGAACAAAAGATGATTTAAATGATATAGATATATTGATATGATAATATAAATATTATATATATATGAATATATATATATATCGGTATAGTCAGTTGTGTGCAAAACATATAATATGTATACAAACAATATACAGTATATATATATATATACAAGTATATAATAAGTATGTGCATGTTGTATAAATTACAAATCAATTTCGCAAGCTTTTAGCCCTTCCAAAAACGCCTCCATTGTCTGCAAAAGTGGAACTCTCTGCAAGAATTCTTCCAGCTGCTCGCGATGAGCCACTGCTGCTTTCTTCACCTGAGTTTGTCTGAAACTGAGGAATTGATCTCCAAAATGGTCCATTTTTGTGTAAAAAATATGGGAACATCATGATTACATGACCAGTGGATTTCTATGGATTTGTGGCTTCAAATTTGGGGGAAAATGATGATTCACCGGTGCACCATTCCATGGGGTGGCACCCTATTTTGAGAGAAACCCAGCGGGATTGATACATGTGTTTGGAAAGAGACAATGGAGGGAGTGCCTACAGGCAGCACAACACGACAAGGGGCGATGTTGTTGAAGCTTTCACGATCCAGTGCCCACAAAACAGACCTGCACAGAAGCGTGGTCAAAAAAAAGGGCAGAGATGTAGCTGTGTCTGAAAAAAGGGGGATGCTGTATCATCTGTATACCTCCAAGATATGGCGAATTGAATCGGAAGATGATCGACATTGATCAACCATTGCCCGTTCTGTTCGGACAACCCCGTTCTTGTTTTTGCTGAGGTCAGATGAGTCAGATGACAACATCAGCCACCTCACTGCAGATTGCTGAAAAGGTGGCTGCTGAGCAAAGGCTGTGGATTCACGTGTTCGTCTCCGTTCAGCCAAGTATGTCAAAGCTTTCGAAGGTGTCAAAATGCTTCAAGCAATGTTGGCACCAGGTCCTAGGTTCAAAACTGTAAAAATGTGTCCTGCGGTTTGGCTGTGCTGCGAGTTGAAAAGAAAAAACAACTCAAATAGCTACATTCGAAGCTCATCCAACTTGAGGGTCGTTGCCATCAAAGGATTGAGGGATCTTCAAATGTTCGAGGACATGTTTCGAAAATTTGACTCCACTTTCAGCCCACTCCACCACTGTTGGAAGTTGGAGGGGGCCAGTTGGCCCATGCCAAGATCCCCAGCGGTTACAAGTTATCTGGTCCACACGTCACGGACAATGGGATTTGCGCCATGGGAACAGTTGGAAACTCCCATGGCTGGACCAGTGCCGAAAGAGATGCCACATCCGGAAAGATGTCCTCAACAGCCGGCTGTTAAATGGCATAAGACCTTTCCCACAAAAGACGGCTCAAATGTTCATGATTCCGTAGAATCGCCGGCTGAGTGGAAGAAGATCAAGCCATATCAAGCCACTCCCACTTCACCCGTTCACCCGAGAGTGTCGACTGAAGTCTGAGATTTCTTCTCTACCTTGGAAGCCTCTCTGAGAACCTGAACAGTCAAGGCCAAGCCGATGAACAGGACCAACTGCATCGAAGCGAACCAGGGCAAATCTAGTGGGATTAGAGCCAAAGACGGCTGCCAATATTGCTGAGACCATTGACTCAAACGCGCCAGCAGACTAACTCAGATACTGCACTTACACTTGTCACAATCAATCGCATAGCATCCATGTCACTCCGGTGCATCAACTTTCCAATCGCAAACCATCTTAGCCATGCCATCGCCATCATCCCAGAAAAAATCCTCAGTTTCCCTTCACCACCACCACCCCCATCCACCCCCATCCGACCCCATCCGACCCCATCCCTCGCGCTGACCTCTCCGCCGCTTCCACGGAAGCCGCTCGAGGGCAGTTGTACAGCAACGCCAACTCGCCGAAGGCATCGCCTGCGGTGCACTCCTCGCGGCGATCAAGTCATTGAAAGCAAATTTATGGAGCAAACATATGTATATATTATATGGAGATATATGGAGATATATCTATCTATCAAATCCTATCAAATCCTATCTAATCCCATCTAATCGCATCTAATCCCATCTAATCCCATCTAATCCTATCTGTCTGTCTATCTGTCTATCGAGCTAGCTACACATCTAGCTATCTAGCTATGTAGCTATCTAGCTATCTGGCTATCTAGCTAGCTATCTATATCACCCATATCATATGGGTCCAAGATGCTGGTGAGGACCCATGGATCCAGTCTCCTTTACTTTGCGCTCACAGCCATCAGATTGACGGATGAAGCAATTCATCTGTCCCTGGTCAACGACATAGAGGCAATCCTCAAAGACAAGGCTGTAACTAAGCAATGGATTGAACTAAGATAACATAGGAAACAATTGTCAGTCTTTACCCTCAAAAAATAGAGGTTCTCCAACCCTTTAACTAAAACTGGAAATTCTGCTCATTCCAAGACTCGCCGTCATCGCCCTGATTGATGAGCCGGGTGCCGTTCTCCACAATTTTCTCCTGAAATGGCGGGTGAATGCCAGGGGGAATTCATATTGTGGACTAAGTGGACCCACTCCTTTTGGTAATTTGGAGTTTTTAACTTAAAACCATTGAAAACCATCCATTGTTGGGGATGATTCTGCCCCATTCCCACATTGGCTGGAAAAAAAAATGTTTTGGCTTACCCGGTAACCCGCCAGTCCTGCATGGCATCAATCAAAATGGCCACTTCATTGGAGTCCATGGCCGCAAAGAGGAAGGAATCCTTCAAAATACTCGACAACCTCTCCTTCTGCTCCTGGAAAATTCCAGCAGTATGCGCGAATTGAAACGTGCTTTGTCTTGGTGGTTTGGGTGTCTGGAAAACAGAGAGTTGTCAAATACTTATATTTTTAGTGGCTACAATCCCAATCATGGGAGTTTGCTGATTTTGCTGGACTCTTATCCATAGAGTGCCATAGAGTCCATGGACCATCTTTTCAATCAAACCAGAGCTCGTATGATATGACGAAAGGGGAGCCAATTTGGCTGAGAAATCGGATAAATCTTTGATGCTGAAAAGTTAGCAGCAGCCTAACAGCCCCATAGGACAAAACAAAAAGTCTGAATGGTGAATTTATACACCAAAGTTATAGCAATTTCGTGGCGGAAATGGTGATTCACCCCCGATTAACCCGTGGATTTCTAGGGATTTGTGCTCTCGAAAGCACCACCCCACCGTCGCCAACGGAGCCCAACCTCCGATTTGGGATACACCGGTGGCACGAAGACCTTCTCTGGGTTGAACTGCCCATAAGCTTCGGCTGACACAGAGTTTCTGGGACCTGCCAGAAGATGACAGATGCCAGAGGATACCAGATCTGAGAAGTGTGGAAAATTTTCAAAAAAAACACCGTTGGGTTTTTTTGTTGCTGGAAAATCATGAATCTGAATGGGGAATTGCCATGTTTGGTTAACAGAGGGTATTCGTAAGAGTTCTACAGGGAGACGAGTGTGTTACCACGTTACAAACGTCAATTTCTCAACCATTTTTTGAAAAGTTGTAACCATTTTATAAAAACATTGCTTACCATTTTAAAAAATGAATTTATAATATTTTATATTTTAAGTTTTCCTGGCATGAATCTACATTGATTTGTTTTGAAGGGCCCAAAGTAATGGACTGGCATGTGAAGAGAAACTGAGATGCCAGCATACTTTGGACAATAGCACTTTTCTGTATCCAAACCAGATTCTCCAGCAAAATCTAATATCAGAACCAGATTCTCCGGCAAAATCTAATATCAGAACCAGATTCTCCGGCAAAATCTAATATCAGAACCAGATTCTCCGGCAAAATCTAATATCAGAACCAGATTCTCCGGCAAAATCTAATATCAGAACCAGATTCTCCGGCAAAATCTAATATTAGAACCAGATTCTCCGGCAAAATACAATGGAGAAAAATTGCATTTGGGGTAAGATACAATGGAGAAAAGGTTAGAAAAGTTTAGGCAAAATACACAGGAAAACATTTTTTTTTGGAAAAATATAAGAGAAAAAAAGGCATTTGAGGCAACCTACAATGGAGAGAAGAGTAGGGGTTTCGGCAAAATACATACAAACAAATGCATTCTGGGCAAAATACAATGGCCAAAAATTACATTTTGGGCGAAAATGCAATAAAGAAAGCGTAGAGGTTACCCCCCTAATTTTTTTATTTTTCATTTTATTTTAGGGGGGCTCAACCTTCCTATAATAATTTTTGGGAATCTATAGCTGGGATCATGATATGTATCTGATAGATTCTCCATGGTTTTGTTGGGTTTCTGAAAGATTCTGAACGGATTTGGTGGAGGCGAAGGAGGAGGACGAGGAGGAGGAGAAGGAGAAGAAGGAGAAGGAGAAGGAGGACAACAAAATTGGAGTTGCGGAAAAAAGTTTCCACTATTGCCATGCCTGGTGCAGGTTTGTTATTGCTATTCTGGGGCTTGCAAAGGGGGTACCCTTTGTGGACCTGTTTTTTTGCTTTTTTTAAACGTGGATTGGATTATATATTTATATTGAGGTTTGGACATTGTATTTTAATTCTGGATTGTAGAAAAATATTATGGATTGTAAAAACCAGTTGTGGATTGAACACCCCTTGTTCAAGGGGGCTATATCAAAGGTCTTGTCTCCGGCAAAATACATAAATGGCTTTAGCAATTGAGAATTGCCATCAATTGAGGGTTTGAGCCAAGATATAGGAATAATATGTAAATGTCAACAGTATAAAATATATTACTATATATTCAAAAAGCTGTTGAGATTTACATATATAACGTGGTACTACAACTAAGAAATAGTATACTATGTCTAAACGTGGTTACACCACCACCTGGTTCTACAGGTGGCTGCAAGAATCAAAGTGTGGAAATTCAGGCCACTGCTGGCTTTAGCTTAGGGCCATCAAATCCGCCACACAGTTGTTTGTTATAGGCTTTCTTGGGACGAAGAAGTGGTGGAACGCACTGCAGATTTTTTGGTTTTCAAGATATCTATGTCCAGATTTTTCGGACCCGGAATGGGATGGCACCCGCACCTTTCTTCAAATACGCTGGCGGAGGTTCAAGCTCATCCACCTCTTCCTCCTCCTCCGTTTCCTCCAGATTCCTTGCCACGAAAGCAGTCTTTAACCTCCCCAAAAAAGGGGAGGTTAAAGTCACTCAACCAAACATCATTCATCAGTCAGTGATTGAACTTCTCTTCCAACATCCTATGGTTATGAAAAACCGAGCCAGCTACACATTGGAAATTGTTAAAATATTTTTTTTTCATTTTTTTATCGTTTTGGTTATCATTTTATTTATCATTTTTTTTCATTTATGTTTTCATTCATTTTTTTTTTATCATTTTATTTTTCATTTTTTTATCATTTTTTTTATCATTTTTTTATCATTTTATTTTTCATGTTTTTATCACTTTTTTAATCATTTTTTTATCATTTTATTTTTCATTTTTTATCATTTTTTTCATCATTTTCCATCATTTTTCATCATTTTTCATCAATTCCACCACTGGAAGCAAAAATGATAAAAAAATGATTAAAAAAATGATAAAAAAATGAAAAAAACTCGAGGAAAATTGCAATTTTTTATTTTTCGGAAAATTTTTGCACCACTGGAAGCAAAAATGATGAAAAATGAAAAAAAAATGATAAAAAATGAAAAAAAAAGAAAAAAATGATTAAAAAAAATGAAAAAAAAATGAAAAAAAAAATGATAAAAAAATGAAAAAAAAATGATAAAAAAATGATAAAAAAATGAAAAAAAAATGAAAAAAAAATGAAAAAAACCCGAGGAAAATTGCAATTTTTCATTTTTTGGAAAATTGCAATTTTCCTCGAGTTTTTTTTTCATTTTTTTTTCATTTTTTTATCATTTTTTTATCATTTTCCATCATTTTTCATCATTTTTCATCAATTCCACCACTGGAAGCAAAAATGATAAAAAAATGAAAAAAAAATGAAAAAACTCGAGGAAAATTGCAATTTTTTATTTTTCGGAAAATTTTTGCACCACTGGAAGCAAAAATGATGAAAAATGAAAAAAAAATGAAAAAAAAATGAAAAAAAAATGATAAAAAAATGATAAAAAATGAAAAAAAAATGAAAAAAAATGAAAAAAAAATGAAAAAAAAATGAAAAAAAATGAAAAAAACCCGAGGAAAATTGCAATTTTTCATTTTTTGGAAAATTGCAATTTTCCTCGAGTTTTTTTTTCATTTTTTTTCATTTTTTTATCATTTTTTTTATCATTTTCCATCATTTTTCATCATTTTTCATCAATTCCACCACCGGAAGCAAAAATGAAAAAAAAATGATAAAATGAAAACATAATTTTTTTGAAAAAAAATGAATGAATGATAAAAATGATAAAAAATGAAAAATAAAATGATAAAAAAATGATAAAAAAAATGATAAACAAAATGAAAAATAAAATGATTAAAAAAAATGAATGAAAACATAAATGAAAAAAAAATGATAAATAAAATGATAACCAAAACGATAAAAAAATGAAAAAAAAATATTTTGACCTGGCCCAGTCTGTGGCTGCAAGTTTTTCATAATCCTATGGAATCCAGTTGGTCCAGTTGACACCTGGATTGTCGAGAAACGAATCCTGGAATCATGGCAGCTTGCAGTCAAGAGTCTGAAGTCAAGAGTCTGAATCCCATTTCCATATTTTGTCTGGACCTGCCCACGGTTCAAGGGAGTGCCTGCATCTTGAAAATCTTTCTAGTCTTCAGTCCTTCGGATGCCCTGAAATCTGGCGAATCCCTCAACTTGAGGCCGGAAAAACGTGTGGCTCCAAAAATGTGATCGAAACATATCAAAACTAACATGGACTCTAGAGGGTTCCTAAAATTGGGGTACAAAATCATCCAGGTACCATTTTGATACTGAAACCACCATGGATTTCCGGTGAGCCAACAGGCACCTGCTTCTCCAGGTCCTTGACCTCCTCTTGCAGCTTCTCCATTTCCACCTGCCCGAAACCATCAAGGTCTACTGAGTCTACGAATTCACTTGGCACCAGCGGAGTCTGTCACAAACGAAACCCGTTGAAACCCGTTGAAACCACGGTGCCCGAGAAACTCAACGCCGCAACGCCTTCAGCTCGCTGAGGACATTGACGCCCTCTGTGAACGCCGCAGCTGCTGGAGTCTTGGAATTTTGGGAGAGCCATTTGATCATAAATGGTGCCAACTGTTCCTCAGCAAATTTGGCAGACTTTTTGGACCAAAATGACCAATCTCAGCCGGATTGCCGTTCAGGCTTCATAGTCATATGTGATCACATGTGTTGCCCCTTGCAGAAACTCAGTCAAGTGGGTGCGAAACTCGGTCCGAGGCTCAGGTCTTTCCAACAGGAGTTGTGTCACCAAATTCTCCAAAACGGGATTCACCTTCTGTTGGATATACTCCTGATGCTCCTGAGCCATTGCCGCGGCGCCCTCCCAAGGCTCAACCTCCCGAGGCGAACGGCTTGGCAGCACCGCCAGTCTTGGTGTCACGCTAAAATGACGCGACGGTGTTTTTTTGATCAGAAATGGTGATCTGAAAATCATGGCTGTGCGGAAATTACTTTTAGAGTTGGTTTTAAAAAAAAACGTTTCATTGTGCTGTAAACGCTCCGGCTGCAAATCTGCAGGTCGGTCAGCTTGAAAAAAAATCACTTCTTGAACCAGAGCAGCTGGTTGTGCGAGGTGCCGCCAGAGCATGCTCGATGTCTGAACAGAGCTGTGAAGATCCTTTGCTCCGCCAAGGATGGCAGGTATATATTTGCTTACCGGCACAGTAGTGAAGTCCCACTGTGGGCAGCAACACGGCTGGTAGTTCGCCAAGGAAGTTCCATGCAAGGTCTGGTTCCAGAGACTCATTGAAACACTTTCTGGAGATTGTGTCACCAGAAATCGTCGGCTTCAAGGCACGTCCCTTATTTGTTTCAAGAAAAATCAAGGGCTCACCACTCTAGAAACGCTAAAATTCATCCGCCAACCAGTGGAAATCCAGGACGTCTAGGGGCGCCCATTGCCCATTGCCCAACGCATCCGAAAGGGTGGCACCTCTTCCGGCCCTTTCTGTTCAGAGACCTGAAAGGGCGAAGAATCAAACTCCCCAAGCTCAAAAACCAAAAATCTCTCCCACAATCTGTCCAACAACTATGGACCCCGTCCAGTTTCAACTGGAGTTTTTGGACCAAAATCTGACTGGTACAGCATCCGACTTGACAGTGTTTCTGCTTGCGCAGCCGCGCAGCCATCCCCCACCTCCACAAGCGAGGGAGACGCGTAGAACCTAAGCTAGAAGGCCGCAATGAGAGCATGACGGTTGAAAAATTAGGTGCCCAAAAAAAAAAAACATGCATTTGTTAGTGAAATCGACCAGTTCAAAGACCTTTGGTGCTAAAATCTTGCACGATGCTTTTTTGATATGGGTGTGTCTGAAAATAGTGTACCCCTAAACCCAATGGTTAATGATCATTATCCCTATTAAATGGCTATAATTGGGAATATACCCTATTTTCAGACAAACCCATATGTTCCAAGAAAGAGTGAATGCCATGACCTCACAGACAGCACTGGCTGCCAGGTCACTGCATCATGCGTTCCTTGGCCACCTTCAACAAGCTTTGTGCCTGTGTGTTGCTGGACATCACGTCCTCAAACCTGGAACGTCGCGGTAAATCATCTGTGATGGCCCTGATGGGTCAAGTCATTGGGTATACCGGTATACCAATATTAGATGGTTCATACTCACCTGGTTGGTGGTATACCTACACCTACTGAAAAATATGAAAGTCAGTTGGGATTGTTTTCCCAATATATGGAAAGTCATAAAATTATACAAAATTCGTGTTCCAAACCACCAACCAGTCACATTATACTCACCATTGACCATAGACATTCCCACCTGTGGTCACCAACCTGTCTTCAATTTGACCCGTACCCAGGAACGAGATTCCCAACTCCTCGTGCTCCTTCTTCCGCTGCTCGGTTGCTTCGGCGACATCCTTCCCACGGCGTGGCCGTTGGGATTAGGATAGAGCGGGCTTAAGAGACCTCAAATGAGAGCATCACAATTGCAAACAGATTGTCCATTAGATATCTAGCCAAGAAATGATACCTCTGGAACAGGTCAAGCTTCCGAAAAGCATCGACTTCTTTGAGTTAGGAGCTTTCCGAATGTCTCCCAAACCACAAACCACGCCTTCTCGTATCCTTTGGAAGTCTAAGAATAATGAATAATGGATGTCCCAGCTTCTACTTCCCAGTTCATAGCAAACCTAGCAAACACCCTGCACAAAGATGCGATTCTTAGTGAGCAACAGTGAGCCAAAAAAAGAGATCGAAAAGTAACATCCACTCCTAAAATATGAAAGAAATATATTTTAGAGAAATACTGTTCTATGTTTTTGGACTTTCTTTTTGGGCTTACCGTCAGAGCCAATGGGACGTTCACCCCCACCTGGTCCAGCTTCTCAAGGCCAGCTTTCAGCTCCTACGTTGCAGTAGTTTCCAAATCTATACGTTTCCGGTACATACATACCTCAAAGACATGTTATAAAAATATGCCATGCATATATATATATAATTAGATGATATGTCGATCCATTAGATGCATACATTCTAGTGTACACAACAAGCATCAACCCTAGATAGCGGCGCCTGGATCTCTGTTTCCATCATCTTCAATGCATCTTTGGCACTGTCAATGTTGGTCTCTTTGTTCGAGACCTCACAGGTAAAATGTGATTTGGGATGATGTGGGTCTGTCTGAAAATAAGGCTAGCCCAAACCTACTTGTCAATCTTCATTGATTTTTCGAAACAAACATGAAATGGACATGTTGGGGGGGTAACATGCCATTTTTGGACATACCCGTTTGATCCCATTTGGATATTGAGTGCATCTTCAGCAATCACTCTTGGAGATCCACTCATTGCTACAATTTTCGTCGGTTTTTTGGTGTCTCGGTCCCATCCACGACAATTTTCGCTCGCTTAGGAACTTGGAGCAAAAGGCTCCATTTCTTGTCATCAGAACCTAGGATGGCTGGAGGTGCCGACCCGAAACAGCCGGCTGGTTTTAAAGAGCACAGAGTGGATGGCGCTGTCAGAAAAGTAAGGAGATAAAAAGGCACAGAGTCTGCAACAGTAACTTTAGGCTTAGATAAAGGGTTGCAAATGTACCTTTGATCAAGTGCAGAAAGCTGGAGTTTGCCCCTGTCGCATCTTTGATTTGACTGTGACATTGACAAAACAGCGCTGTGACTCAAGGTGCTTCATCTTGAAAAGCAAATGGCATACAGGAATTGCAATCTGTGCTCTACGAATCAAGGTCACTCAAAGCGTGAAATTTCCAACTCCGATGGTGAAGAGAAAGATCGAAGTTGCGCGCATCAGCAACAAGCGGCTATCGAACTGCTGCTTGCAATACTCCTTCTTTTTGTCTTCATTCTCCTGCGGGTCATGCTCTTTATGTCTTTGTGTTCCAAGATAAGCTTGCGAAGCCGGAACATGTGATTCTACCTGGGTCCCAATCCAGATAATATCAAATGCATGTATATATAATGTGTGTACATATTGTATATTTAATTACATTTGCTGTAATAAATATCATTAAGAACATTGTAGCAGTACTATTTTTTTGACAATCACAATGATTTTTTCCCATACGTACATAAAAATCATCATTTATCACAGTAATCTGTGTACATGTATATTGATGTATATTGTACATACATTGTATACATGTGTCTCTCTGTGTCCTCCAGAGATTTTACCGCAACAGCCGCGTTAAAGTAAGCTCCTGCTCCTTTTTCAGCGTCGCCTTCATGGAATGGATCATTTGAACCACCTGGGCGGCTCGAAAAAAACGGAAAATCTCCCCGTTCATATGAAAGACCAGAAAAAAACAATGGTCTAATATTAGGATATATTAGGGGGATGGGATTAATTGCTATATATTGCTATTCTACTTTTGCTTACTTCACATTGAATCTACTCAAGTTTCTCAAGTTTACTCAATTGAAGTGAATGCCTTGGGGACTGAACAACTCAATCCCAGATATTTCAGCAAGTGGTGCCCCAAGCGATGCCTTGTCGAAGCCAATCTTCTTGCCGCGGAGTGCCAAAAGGATCAAATCCGTCTTGGCACCAGGGACGGCCTTCCGAGAAGTAACACTGCTGGCTGACAGGCTGATAGGGATCTGGTTGAAAATAGGATACGCGTCCGAAACAGGACCCACAACATTGATCAACAATGGAACATTGCACAGTTCAATCCAAATAACTAAATTCTGCCATCGTTCCTGGTAGAATTATGTAATTGTGACCCGTGCCTATGTGGCAACAATCGGAGAGTGAGCTCAGCCCTGCCTCCAAACTTCTCCGGACTCTTTCCTCGCAGCAATGTGTTGCCAGTGGGAAACTCACCCGTGCAGTAGTGAAACTACATGGTCAAATTTCAAGTCCGGTTTGGTGAAACTCAGATCACCTTAGATCATTGGACACCTGAGTTCATTCGGTGGATAGTAACCGGTGTGTATCAATCCATGCGAAATCCTCTTTTTTTCTGCTCAAATGCTCAAAGCACAAAAGTCATGTTCGAATCGGAGTCATTATTTTTGGCTAAACCTCAATCCACACAACATTCCAGGATTCCACCCAGATATGACATAATATTACATATACCATCTGGTTATTTAACATAGCCATGGAAAATCACCATGCTATTAATAGGTAAACCATCTATTTCTATGGGCCATCTATACCATGGATTCCATGGCTATTTTAACAAATAACCAGAGGGTATCACATATCAATACATATCACATATTCAAAAATATCACGTCCAGCACATGAGTTGTTTGCTGCCGGGGCAAGTGATCAGACTAGCCAGTTACTGGAAAATCAGACCTTGAGAGTGGCGGTAGAGTCCACCTGACACAGATTTTTTTAGCAGGAACAGCAGTGGGGATGAGTCGCTTGGAACATGAGAAATTCCATTGGAAATTTGACTGGAAATTCAGAATGGAACATCATTGGAACATGCTCCAAAAAAAGTCCGTTTGCATTTTGTTCGATCTGTCTTACTCTATCAGATCGTTCATCTCCATGCCTGGGAAAGGAAGACCTTGACATTTCAGAAGCTTCACATCCACCAAGTTCAGATGGTGTATAATTGTATAACTGTATAACGGTATAACCCATGGCATCCATAAACATCCATCTAAACATCCATCTAAACATCGCGCGTCGGCATCCCTGGTGTCCAAATGTGTCCAATTTCTCGATGTTTCTCGCACGGCCTGCAGGAAGGAGATCGGCGGCAGCGCTTTCCTGAAGCTCTCATCGTCGTCGAGGATTTTCATGGTCTCCGAGATGGCCATCAACTCCTCTCCACGTGTCTTGACCTCAAGGACTATGTCAACTATGTCATCGCCAACATTAAGAGGGACCAATGTCTACCCAAAATGGAGGTACCTATTGAGACTTAGATTGATGCATTTTTTTCTTGTTCAATAAGATGCAATAAGCATCACAAGTCAGGTTTCACAGCAAATTCAACAAACCAAAACCGTCAAAACCGCGTTTGAATCCCTCCAGGGGTCTGAGTCTCCATGCTCGCGCATCCCAGGCTGCAGCCTTCTTGTTGCAGCCTGCGGTGGAAACTACTAGCAGGACCTCGTCACCAGCAAGGCTACTTCTGGGCGTTTCTGGATGTTTCTGGTGCGGCCACGCAACTGGAATGCAGACTTTGCAACACCTTTTGGTCCTGGCAACATCAAGTGACAATTCACTAAGAAACCCTCAAAACTCCAAACCAAGATGCCAAAACACCAAAAACTCACGGAGTTGGTTTCGTCAAAAAATTAAGGAAGAGCCTTCCACCTTAGCCGTCAAATTATGGTAGCACTGTTCATTTTAACCATGTTTTTCTGCTGTTTTTTCGGAAGAAAATCGCAATGTTCACCACATCTTCAGACATTTACCACAACTAGCCATGACACGGGCGTGGTTTTTCCAACCTCAGTCCTCAGCGACCGCAGTTTCCGCCTCTTGGATCCCCGACTTCAGTCGAACCACCGCCTGGAAAGTCACACTGTACAAAGAAGTTGCAGATTTATAGATCGATCTATGATAGACAGAAATGTGTGCAAGCGAAGAACAATGTTCAACGAGCGCAACCGGTTTTCCATCCGCAAGGAGCGTAGCTTGGCTGAAGATCTGAAAAAGGATTGGGCCGAGAGGCCACGACAAAATGAAGGTCATGAGCCATTGATGTCAAAAGCACACACTGACATCACTTCCAATTTCTTGTTGACATGAAGGGATGGCTCAGGATCTTTGTGAAATAGAGAAATCAGCACAGGTACTGTGCGTCCAATCAACGCATGCGGGTTTGGAAGATCTGACATATTCACCGCGTTCTCTGATTTCTGCCAAACCTTTTGAGTTTGACTTACATCAAATCGACCATAGGTCGTCCTCAAAGGAAACTCCGCAATGCTAAAACGCGGCTCTGGGGTTCTGAAGCTCTTCGCAACGCATGCTACTTGCACTCCAATGCCAGAAAGATAGTGCCAACCTCTCTTCTCGCACAAACCATGCAAATGAGGCATGATGGGATCATTCCCATCCAGAGCGACTCCAGGTACATCAGCGCCTGCTGAATTGGTCACGGCCGGAGATTTTCTATTGCGTGCCTTTGTCACTTGTTTCACGAATCCTGGGCTGTAACTGATAGACCATGTGCCTTTCTTCATGATTGCCCGCATGTGTGTCAAGTCCAGCAGCTTGGTTCCTGCATCAATCCACATATTTTCTGTAGAGGTCCATTTGAGAGCTGTATTCGGTCTTCTCAGCACTGAACGAATCCATGCCACAGTGAACGCTAAAGACTTTTTGGCTTCCATAACTTGCCGTGTCTGAGTTGCCCTTGTCATTGACATCCTTGGCATCAACCGCCACTGTCATCGGTACAGCATTCATTGCGGTCTCCGCTTTTCTACCCAGCATGTCAAAGCCGAGGATTGTTGCCACAAAGCCTTGACACAGTTGGCCAATGTCAAAAGTTTCTTCTGTTGCCAAGGTTTCGGCTGCATATGTGATTCTGCAGGCTCTGGGAATCCTGTGTGACCTGCAATCAAGTATGTTGAAATGACCTGACGACCAGCAACTAGTTTAGTGTCACCCAACAAAGCAAAATAGCAACCTTGAGACTTGAGAGCAAACCTTGGTGATGGGTTCACCCTGATCAGAGCCGTTGCGCTTCACGCTGCCCAAAGATGCATCTGACACCACCATTCTGCCAGTGCGATAGTTGATTGGTTTGAAGGTCAAGTCGAACTGGTGAGTAGATTTGAGCTCTCGAGCCAGGGCGTTGGCGCACAAAGCTGTAGCTATGGTGGGTGGATGCTCACCCTGAAGTGTTGATACTCCATAGCCCACATCGAAGCGTAATTGTGCTACCAACCATTGCAAACTTACTAGCAGGGCTCTCAACCTTTTGGCCTCGTGTTCGTTCAAGAGGCTGAAAGGATCTGACTTCCTGTGTTTCTCGAGGACTGTCTCCTGGAGATTGGAGTGGTATTCCTGCATGCTCAAAAAATGGTGCCATCACTTGCACGTCGTATGCGCTTCCCACACCAAGCAAAGTCATGAAACCCGAGCGATCCAAAACCCAACTCACTGCCGATAGCATCAAGAGAAACCTTGCCCAGCATGCTGCCAGCAAACAACAAATCATCCACGTGGGCCACCACAATGGCTTTAAGCACCTTTTTGCCCGCATCATTGACCAACCACAAACACTGCATGGCTCCGTCAATCAATGTGCGAGTCCATCCGTTCTCCTCTATAGCTCTTGAAAGTCTCAGCCACCACTCTCGAGGTGCATCCGCAAGACCAAGAATGCCTTTCAGCACTCGACATAGCTGTCCTGGACGCAGAGGGATTGGTGGATTTCTCTTTTCGTCTACTGCAGTCAAATACAGCCCACGAGACAAATAAGGATCGCCCGTCAAGAAAGCACTTTTCACATCTGCAGATAAAATGATCCAATGAGTGAAGAATGCCGCAATGGAGAGAAGGATATGTTGGGCAAGCCTATATAGAGCCTGGTGGCGCATCACGTCTCCAAGTTGCTTCGATCTTTGAATCCAGGCACCACCAAGCGGCTCGACGCTTTCGCGGGCAAAGGCTGTGAGGCCGTTCTCAAACCATCATGCTAGTCTGTCAAAACGAACCGTGGTTGCAAAATTCGATCCAATTCGCCTCGTCGGGCAAGATCTCTTCGCACCTCTCTGGATTCCTCCATTGACAGCAGTTGAATTGCATTGTTATCCACATGGGCATTCCAACCAGCTATGGCTGCTTCTTTCCAGAGTTCTTTCCTTGTGGGGGTCAGGAATATTCCTTTCTCCCTGCTTGAACAGACATAGCGTCATGCACCTCCCCGCAAGGAAGTTGTGAACCAAGGCTCCTGGGAGTCTCCCAGTCACGCTCACAAAGAAATGCCCAGCGACCATCCCAAGACCCATGATCGTTCTCCACATTGTCTAAAGGAGCACGCCGATCCATCCCGGCCTCGGCTTGGATTTGCAGCAGGGGGGATGCACTGCTACATTCTCAGCTAAGTTGCAAAGATGCTCCCAGGTCATGGTCATGGCTTCAAAGGCAGGATTTGCTTCGAGAGCTTGAGAGTCCCCAGGGGGCCCTTCCACCTCAACTCCAGCTGACGCATCTCCTTCAGGCTTGTCAAGCTTTTGAGATGCACTGCGCTTGATGTCTACTCCACGGTCAGAGTCAATGGATCGGGCTCGATTCATCGCTGATTGCATTGATGCCGAACTCAATATCCTGGATCTTACATCACCAGCTTGCTCACTGGCATCAACTGTCACCTCTTCACTGGCTCTTCGTGAAAAACCATGTGGCCAACTCATTGATCCTGGTTGAGACACAGACCTCACTTGGCCCACTTCACTTCTCGCAGAAAGCGCAGGAGTGAATGGAACTGGTTGCAAAGGCGCAGCGGATGCTCCCGGAGAAGCAAGCATACTGCTAAGCGCTTCATCTCCCTCCTGACTACCCACAGGCTGTGAGTCCACCACTGCTTCACCACGTTGCATTGCTGCGTCATGCCTTGCTGCCCTCAGAACCTCATCAATTGCGGCTTCCCATGATCCAGCTGCCAGACTTTTCAAGTGAAGAAGCAGGTCTCATGTGCTCCATGGGCATTTTGTCAACTGGCCACGAAAAGACACAAAGCAATTGGCAGCAAACTCTGTTCCACTTGCCTTCAATAGCTACAAGAAGGCCAGGCCCGGGCCAACGGCGAAATTGAAGGCGACGAGTTGGTCGACCTGAAGCACTGTCTTCTTGGACTGATATTTTTGGGCACGCCAAAAGAAAACCAGGTCGCCTGGCTCAGGCGCTTGCTCGGCTGTCGTTCGCCGACTTCTGGCCAGTTCGGCTTGTCTGAGGCCATGGCTGTAGTGCAATCGCACCACAGCCACTCTTGCTGATTCACACATTGCAACCTGTTTGGCCATCGATGGATTGGCCTCGATCAATGAGTGCTCAGCCAACCGACCGGCAAAGTTGTTGAGGACATTGCCAGTTGCTCTAGGATTGCGACGTGTCACCAGTTGCAATGGGCTCACTCCAGCTTCACTGACGTCGGAGTCGTAAGCTGCGATGGCCTCTGCCATTGCTGCTTGCATTTCGGTAGCTGGTAGCATTGCTAACTGCATGCGTCTGACAAATTGCTCCTGTCACTGCCTTCAAATTTCCACCAGATCTTTCGGCTATTCCATTTTGCCAAGGGGCACCAACTCCAATGTGGTAGAGATAGATGCTCTTGGAATCGCACCAGGCGCCAAAGGCGGTGGAAACAAATTCACGGCCTTGATCAGCACAAATTGACTGCGGGATTCCAAGCAAAGGCAACCAATGTACTGTCAAAAACTGGATCACGTCGGCCGTTGATTTGGAGTCCAAAACTCTTGCAGCTTGAAATCTGGAGACATTGTTAGTGCAATGGCCTACCACGTACTGTTGCTTCAAAGAATCTTACAAAATCACCAAGTCCACATGCACGTGCTGTCCCACTTCTCAAGGAGGAGGCAGAGACGCTGGAAGACGAGTGAACACTTCAGCTGCTTTGCAGCTTCGATGGCTGAAGCACCTGAAATCAACAGTGCTCGAGCCAATCCGAGACGACTTCGGTGGCCGGTGCCGACATGAAGTTGAAAAACGGCTTGTCTAACAACTGCTGGAATGGCCACATCTTTGTTGGGTTTGACGCTATTTTTTCACTATTCTCAAAACGGTTCCGCAAGGGATCCACTGAGTGATCCGAGGAGAGCAACACGAGTCCACCGCTGCTCAACCCTGCACACCATACTGAGATGGAACTGGCCCCACCGTAGTGCACCCCCTTCACAAGCAATTGTTGCGAGCAGAGGCTGCTACACCAGGCACTGGGCAAAGAATCAGACAAAATCTCAGCACCCACTTGTTCGAAGCATGTCAAGTTTCATTGGGAACAACAACTTCACTCCCATGCCTTCGAGAAGCTCGGTCACTTTACGTTCAAGTGGGCCTCTGGGAGCTGTACCATGCTTTTGTTCACCACCAACGTTCCGACATGCTGCTTCGAGAGCTTGGGCTATGGGTTCCACAGGCTGTTCCACCTTGAGCTGGACCCTCACCCATTCTTTGTTGTATGCCGGGCGCATGTTGCACACCAGCACCATAGCCTCCAGTTCTTTGGGATCCGTGATTGCGTTGGCATGAGTGGTCACCTCTGCTTTCTCGGTCTCCTTCAAAGACGGGTCGGATTTGGCTGTGACAACCAAGCTGGCCCACACGTGGAGAAGCGGGCTGCCCAGCCCATGTGATCTGCCTGCACTCGTCACACTGCTTCCTCATAGTCCTTTTCCGGCCTGCAAGCCCGCCATGGCGTACTGTGAGGAAGCCGGGAGCATCCAAGATCGAAGGAGGGCTGCATCGTGGACTCAAACTGTGGCGGGTGAGCTCAAAGCTGCTTCACCTGTTCCAAGTCGGCCTCTCCTCCTGCGCCGGTCCGGCGCCTCTGTGAGCGGGGTTCGGCGCTGCCTCCCGCCACCCACTTCTCCATGAGCAAGAAACAACGAAGCCGGGACCGGGCTTGAGCTCTCAAATCTTCTGGAACGTTTGAAATACCGGCTAATCAATGATTGTCGTTGATGGATGGGAGCAGGGGATAAAGGAGAAGAGCCATACGAGTCAGCAATTTCAACAGCCTCTTCCTCTGGGCCAAGTTTCCACCATGCTGCACAATTTGAAACATCCGGTTGCACTGGTGGAATCTGGTGGACAGTGGCAGTACAGGTCTGCAATTTCAGCTTCCTCTTCCTCTGGGCTAAGTTTCCACCAGGCTGCGCACTGTGAAACATCTGACGGCACCAATGGAGAATGGCAGTACAGGTCTGCAATTTCAGCAGCCTCTTCCTCTGGGCTAAGTTTCCACCATGCTGCGCAATTGGAAATGTCTGACTGCACTGCAGCACTCACTGGTGACTGCCCTGTCTTTGAACCCCAGAAAGAGGACAGTGTGGTGACGGGCGTGTTTTTGTGCCTCTGCCGAGGCTGAGCTTGCAACTGAGAAACTTGTGCAGGATTGTCAAAATGCGAAACAATATGTTTTTGCAAGGCTTGGCAGGGGCGTGGAAAAAGCACAAAAAGGACAGGCGAGTTGCTTTGGGGGTTGCACTTCCGCAGCGTGACCTGCGCATGGATGACGACACCCCTCCAGAAGGAGAGACACCATCGGTGTTGTCCAAGTCTTCATGAGGATCCAGCCGGACATTTCCCTTTAATCCCTCTTTTGTGGGCATGTTGTTGTGCGCTCCGTTTGTTTTTGAAAACAGACATGCAACACGGACACTGGTTGGTGACGACAGCATTCTTGAATGGCCCCCTTAAGTTATGTTTTTCAACCATATGAACACATAAAGACAGTGAATTGTGTCCCACAAAGGAGCAAGGCTGGCCACTGGACAAGATATACCTGCATGCATGGATGTCAAGAGACGGTGGAGGAAATGTTTCATCGTCCGGTTCCACAAATTCTTGGACCGATGATGTGTCAAGCCAATGAAAATCATGCTGTGGGTCAAAGATTGACCCAAACCCAGAAAAATGAACCATCTGAGTCGAAGGAGTCAAGTCCTGACCATGGTCATGCTCAGCCGTAGACTCTGCATCCACGACAAAAGCGCTGTGACATTGAGCCAATGCCTGCTCGAAGTCATACTGAGTCATGAAGGCCTCCACAACAGCGTCTGAGAACTCAGGGGTGTAGTGACCCGCAACTGAAGTGATTTTGGAACCACCCATCACCCAGGCATGTTTGCGGTCACCTCTGCATCGCCTTTCAAGAAAAGCTGACACCAAGGCCTGCGATGAAGTCAAAAATCGAGGGGCCTTTTTGTGCAATTCACCACCATGTCCTTTCAAACCAAAGCGGCACATGTCAAGCACGACCTCCAGCACATCAGAGTGGTTGCGAAAGTCTAAAACCGCATCAAGATTCCAAGCAGCTGACGTAGCTGGATTCTCAATCAAGAAGCGCCGACCACCTCGCAAATGTAAAAGGGCAGCTTCTATGGCAAGAATCACCAACACTTCTGCCTGTTTCCTCTTGGCCTGCAAATCAGCAGTAGGATTCAAATTCTGAAGCAAAGACCAAACGTTGTAGGGAAATGCCAGAATGAGGACATAGGGTTTGGAGCGACGAATGAGCTTCAAAGCCGCTTCACGATGGCGAGGGTCAAGAAAGTCCCAGCCAGTGCCCAATGTCAGACTGCCGCCGGCATAAAGTCCACGCCTTTCAACAGCCTGGCAATGGGTTCGGTGTCAGTGAACACTTCAGTCACGAATGGAGATAAGTCCAGCTCCATCGTGAACACCTCATTCATGTATCCTTGCACCTCTCGATCTCAGTCAGCCATGAGAATCTCTTGAAACCTGCGCTTGTCCACAGAAATAGCAAGTTGCTGACGCCTCGTCGCCCTCGCCCGGCAGAATCGCATCGCTGGGCACCTGCTGAACTGACATCACATGTTGCATCACCTGGTTCATCATGTCCATGACTCGCTGATCCTGCTCGGCAAACAGCTCCTTCAGTCGAGTCTCCAGGTAGTCCTTCTCCGGCGACGACACCATGACCATGCAGATCTTGTGGATGCGGCCTCCACGCTTGGAGATGCTCGTGAAGGAGACTTTGTCTGCAGCCATGGGCTTCGCCGCAGCCGAAGCAGGGCGCTTCTCCATCATCAGGGCAACTGTTGGTCGAATCTTCTGCTGCAGCATAGGGACTGTGTCCTTGGGCTCCACATCCACATGAGCCAAACGCACCAAGTCCAACGAGCTGTCGCAAGAACCTCGCGGTCCACAGTCTCGGTCTCCTTCTGGACCTTTTCCTTCATCTCCTGGATGGCTTCGGCTTTCAGCTCTCTCTTCTGACCTTTCATGACGCGAGTCAGCAGGAAACCAGACAACAGGGAATCTCCCACGAAAGCCATCTTCCATCCGATAGGATCTCTGAACTTCTGCAGCTCGATCAAGTTCTTCGCAATGTAACGAGAAGCTTCCAAAGCTGCTCGATGATGCGAAGCAGGCAGAACTTGCTGAGACACCATAGTTTGCCCTTGGAGCATCCAGGAACAGTGGATACTGAAGGATATGAAAAGGGCGAGTAGCGCAAGTAGGAGCGAGAAGCCAGCCAAAGTCTCAAACTTTCTTCGTACCACTGCCGGCGTCCAAGAAGCCTGAGAATAAATCTTCTCCAACGGTATGGCACAAACGCCGTTCGACAGCAACGTTTCTTGGGCTCCACGACTCAAGGTCATGAGTGGGGGCCAATCTGACTGTCCGGCTGCCTGAAGGAAAGGCAGCAGCTCTTGCTGAGTGCTCGGAGAGGTCATCTGCACAAACAGGAGGACTCCGACGTCGGGGAGGATGTTGAACAGGTTGTTGCTTCAATGAAGCGTTCATCTTTGGAGCCAAGTTCACGTGCTCATGCTCTGTCAAATTGATCGAATGGAGTCGCGTTGCAACTTCACTGGCAAAGAAACCGCTTTCAGTCAAATTGTGTTCATGTGATGCTGCATCTGGAACAGGATGACCTGAAACACCTTCAGAAATCCGACGCTTCAGCCAGTCTGATGGATCAAGTTTCAACTCAATGATCTTGTCTAAACCACATGTCCTCCAACTACCCACGTCGAGCCGTGGCCAACGAATAGAGAGCAGGGGCAGCATGAAGTGGCCTGCTGATAGTTGATCCAACCTTTGCCAGCCAGCATTGATGAAGGTGCACTCCAGTGAGCGATTTGCAAAGCTTAACGCTGTTCCAATGGCATCCAGGAAATCACGACCAAGTAAACATCCCAAGGATGTCACAGGCACCACTGAAATCCAGATAAGAATAACCGTTCCAGAAACACATGCTGGTACCTCCAACACTTTGCTGAAGTCACTAAACCACAATTACCAAACTTAAAACGTTCTTCTTCTTCTTCCACACTTGAAACCAACGAAGAATTAAATACCAATAGGTGCATCCTTTGAGTGCTTGTCAAATAGGAGTCCATCCAAACTGGTCCACAACATGTTCTATTGCAGGCAGAATCGAGAGCACCCACATGGAACTTATCCTCGGAGAGAGCCTGGGCCGAGGTCACATTCACATCGCCGCGCTGCGTATTCTGAGACGGCGCTGCATGCAAAGGGGTGGAGAGGCGATGGGCCACAGAGGCTTCATGTGTTTTGACATCACCGCGGGCAGAGTCAACACCTAAAGAAGGGGTAGTCAACAAAAAAGACCAAGCTGCACTCTCAACGTTCAAAGCTCCGGCCAGCCGCACTTGTTTTGCCTTCGGTTTCGCAGTAGTTGAGGAAATTTTCTACCCAGCCCTGCACCAGGCATAGTGCACTCTTTGTCGCCAGCCCAATGCCCGTGCATGTTGTAGTCAAAGCACGGAAACTTCCCAGAACTTTTCCGGCTTCAAACCTGCCCACCACGCTGCCAAATTGTCGCGCTTAGTGCTCTCGAGACCCACCAAGTCATCTCTCGCTTGAAACTTTTCCAAGTTGCGGGTGATCCATCCCAAACAGGAACTCTAGCCCACGCACCTGAACCCTTCTCCTCACCATAGTCAGCCATGATTGCGATACCTCTTTCAGAATCCCTTAGGGAACTATATTTGATTTGTGCCACACCAAAGCCAATCTAGGAGCCAGTTTCAGATTCAAAATGCCTTGCCAAGCAACCGACACTGAAAAACCACCAAGGATCCAATGACAGCAAGCATCAAATTAAAGGAACACGGAGTGCGCCTGGATCGTCCACAAGGCTCCGGTGCCACTGATAGACATAAATGGATGCAAGCGAAGAACAAAGCTCAACGAGCGCAGCCGGTTTTCCATCCGCAAGGAGCGTGGCTTGGCTGAAGATCTGAAAAAGGATTGGGCCGAGAGGCCACGACAAAATGAAGGTCATGAGCCATCCATGTCAAAAGCACACACTAACAATTTATAGTGGATTATAGTCTGTCTGGCTAGTTGTAGATGAAAATAGATATATAGTGGCTTTGGGAATGGTTTGGGGTATAGTTCTAGTCGGCATAGTTTTCACCATGGTCAAACCACGTGAAAACCCACTGTGCAGCGCGGCGGATTTTGCGCTCCATACATGCGCTAACGCAGCAAGTATGCCTGCAGGTCTCAGGAAGCTCGCTCCAACCCAAACCCTGAGATCCCAGGAGGAAGCTATTGGAGCTATATCCAAAAATGGCACAAGTTGGAAATAGTTGGATCAGGTTGGCTTTCGCACATTTCGTTTATCTTGATTTGTCTTGTTTTATCTTGATCTCACAGCGGTCTGGCATCATTTTGGGCTGGGGGTTACACCTACAGGACACCAAAGCCTGACAGTTGGCCTTCCACAGCATGCTGTTTCAAACAGTGCACAGCGGAAGCCTGTCAACTTCGATGTCTCCTCACTACTGCGTGCTGTCGAAGCACAAGGCTGTGGAAGAAACTGTCACCTCACCTCAAAAGCACCTCTCGAGAGCCTGAAGTTTGAAATGACAATAATTTCACTAAAACGATTCAAATGTTTGATGGTCCTTGTACGTTCTTGATGATTCTTTTACAGGGAGGCCGACAGAGTCCGACACAGCTCACTTCTACAATGGAAATTGCTTGAGAATACAACACATGCATATGACATTTTCTGCCATGCAACACATAGGTCCAAATGAGCACTATCTGGGCAACCTCCAAAATAGGCGAGAGAAAAGGTCCTGTTCTGCCTCCAGAACAGCACTAATGTCTCGGAAAATCACTTCTCAGTTCTCAGCTTTGCAGGCAGAATCTTTCCTAACCCAGCATCTCCAAATATTGAATTGGGACCTGTGGGACCTGTGGGATTTGTGGGCTTGTGGGACCTGTGGACCTGTAGGACCTGTGGGACCTGTCGGATGTGGGACCTGTGGGGCGTGTGGGACCTGTGGGACCTGTCGGATGTGGGACCTGGGACCTGTAGGACCTGTGGGACCTGTGGGACCTGTGGGACCTGTCGGATGTGGGACCTGTGGGGCCTGTGGCACCTGTGGGACCTATAGAAACCCTGTGGGACCTGTCGGATGTGGGAGCTGTGGGCCCTGTGGGACCTGTCGGATGTGGGACCTGTGGGACCTGTGGGACCTGTGGGACCTATAGAAACCCTGCGGGACCTGTCGGATGTGGGAGCTGTGGGCCCTGTGGGACCTGTCGGATGTGGGACCTGTGGGACCTGTGGGAATTATAGAAATTGTGTTGGACCTGTGGGACCTGTGGCGTGTGGGACCTGTCGGATGTGGGACCTGTGGGACCTGTGAGACCTGTGGGCCCTGTGGGACCTGTCGGATGTGGGACTTGTGGGGCTTGTGGGACCTGTGGGACCTGTGGGACCTGTGCGACCTGTGGGACCTGTGGGACCTGTGGGGCCTGTGGTGGGACCTGTGGGACCTGTGGTGGGACCTGTGGTGGGACCTGTGGGACCTGTGGGACCTGTGGGACCTGTGGGACCTGTGGGACCTGTGGGACCTGTGGGACCTGTGGGGCCTGTGGGACCTGTGGGACCTGTGGGACCTGTCGGATGTGGGACCTGTGTGTCATTAGTGACGCCTTGTGAGTCCCTCAAAAAATGCCCCACCTTCACTGAAGGAATCGACTGAGCTCAGTTCAAATATAACCATAGAGAAGTTCATATATTGTGCAAATTCAACGGCTCCCCACGTGGCAAATTTCGCAATTTGTTTTGATTCAAAATGATCCAAGTTTCGATGATGCCACCGCCATCAGCTGCGTCAACGAAAGCCGCATGGCACCGACGCACTCCGCGTCCTCGTGACTTCGATGCCACGTCCATGGACTCCAAAGTGGACGTCGGCCCTGGCGGTCTGACTGTCACACTGCGAGTAGCGTTGTCTTACCTTTTTCAAGGCAAAAGAAAGTGCCATAAATGCCATAACTAGCCACAACTCATATTCTGATGCTGCTTGTGTTGGATTCAAAGGCTCCTGTTGCTGCTAAACATGATTTTTGTCGTTGGGATCTTCGCTCTGGGCCTCTGAGCATCACAAACAGCTTGAGGATCTTCGCAAAAGAGCTTCACGCGAATCTCTGGACGTGCGCACGTGCCCGGCAGCATTACTTCCCTGCCTCATTGACGTCAGATCTGAACGTGTTTCCATATTTCTACCATATCCATCCATATCCAACAAGCCAGAAATTGCTTGGGAATCTTAGAAGCATTTCCTTCTCTCCAACTTGACTGATGTTCCACCTGACCTAGCTGCTACCCTATGGACTGTTTCAAGTCCTTATCTGACCCCACCCTACAGTCAAACGACAAACTCATGCCTAACTCATGCCTGGGTCAAAACTTGCTAGTAAATCACCATGGAATCGCTGTTTCAAGAAACTCATGCCTAAGTCATGCCCAAATCTTGAAACACCATGGAATCGCGTATGTATAAGAAGAATGTTTCCACACTTGGGAAAATCAAATGTTCGCAAAAATCCGTCTACAGTTGCATTCTACCAACCAACCTCTCCTATAGGTTTCCTATTTTTTTAACGTCAAAAAATAACAAGAAAGGCTCTCTGCCCACCCGCCTGCGGAACCACATACGAAACTACAGCCGACACAAAGACACAACAATGACCCTTCTCACCTCCATCTCAAGCAACACGCTGAAGTGCCACAATGCCGCGTTGAGCACGCAGTGAAAAGTGAAAATGGCTGCCGCAGCACACTGGAAAGAAAAATATAGAAGCACCAACTCATCGCTACACTCACATCCAGTTTGACTTGGCATGGAAAAGGTTACTCTTGATGCTAAACACAACCTAAACGCAAGATTTATTAACAATATGGAAAAGGTACCCTTGATGCTAAACACAACCTAAACGCAAGATTTATTAACAAAAACTATTCCAAAGACCAAATCCAACAAAACATTGCAATTCCTATGCGTTTTACTAAAAAGGCACGACTTTTCAAATCAAGTGCTCCCCAGCTATTTACGATGATTTCCAAATTTTAGGCACGACTTTAGCATTCCACTGTAGTCCTCCAGCTGAGTGACAAGGTGTCCGGCTGCCTCTGCAAAAGGCACCAACACGACCAACCGAAGCTCGCAAGTCGTGAAGACGCTGCTGGTACCACGAGTCGTTGTCAATGCGGACTCCGATGCATGGTCGGTCGTCGCACCAAAGACGGCGTTGCAAACAGGGCTCTGGTTCAATACGTGCATGATGGTGATGCACACTGTGATGTACGTCGTGATGTACGTTGTGATGGACGTTGTGATGGACATTGTGGTGCACCTGGTGATGCAGATGATGAAGCTCGTGATGATGCACGTCGTGATGGACGTGATGCACATCGTAATCATGCACGTCGTGATGGACACAATGCAGGAGAGGTCGCTCAAATCTGCAGACCACCCGACCCAAATCGGGCACGCACGTGTCTGGCACGCATTGTCGTCCACAAGTGCAACCACAAGCCATCACTTCACACAGCGTCACAGGAAATCGGAGACGGAGCCAAAATCTGCCACAAGTTTTCTGTCATCAGATTTTCATAGCTTCAACAGTCAGACTTTGACTTTTCAGCACACAAAATAGGAGGTGTTTGAAAGTTTGACCCCCCTTTTTTATGTTTTTTTTCTGGGATTTTCCACCAGCCACCGAGGTCCTGACCACTTTCAACTCCCCCAGCTGCTCCATTTTCTCTTCGATGCTGACCGTTAAGGCCTGGACACAAGCGGAAAAATCCTCGGAGAAACAGTGAATCAGTGAATTGAAAATAGATATCATAAGTTATATCCCAACTTCTGCTGGTTTTAGACGTTTTAGCATGTGTGAACCTGGTGATACCCCTAAAATAAACCCAAAAGATGCTTGGTTTGAAATGCTTGGTACAAGCATAGCTTCAATTGATTTCAGTCGGACCAATTTCCGGACAATCATTGGATTAATTATCTACATCTTGTCCAATTCAATAGCTTCCATGGAGGAAAAGTTCGGTGCGGAAATCTTCTTTTGGCCTTGATTTCTTTGGTTTTCGCCGCGGAAAGGTCCTTGAACTCCTGCGACATGACAAGTCATGACGAGTTGGACACACTGGATATACCTACCTACCTACATTTTATCTGGAATGTGGAACTTCAAAGAAAACTCGCAAAAATGTGAACATGTGGAAAAAAACACAGTGTATATATATATATAGAGTTATATATAGTTATATATATATATATATATCTACTTCAGGATGAATATATATCAGAGAGACACAGGTCAATCCGGTTCCCAAAGGTAAAGATGAGCCCGTGAATTGGGATGGATTCTCCTGAACAAACCAGCATCATTAGAACATTGTGGTGTCACAGGCTGCCATCCGTCCACCTGTTGAGCTTTGCCTTCCACTTCTCGCGCTTCCAGCATGGCTTCATGGGTCTCGGAACCCATGTGCTTCAGCATGCCCAGAATCTGGCAGAATCTGGCAGAATCTGGCAGGATGATGAGTGAAAAAATGTTGAACCCGAAAAAGACAACATGGCAGTGTGTCAAAACCTTGTACCCCTGGTGAACATCAAAATAGCTGGTAAATGGATGTTCATCCCCCTAAAAATGGTATTAATAGGTATTGATCCATACCCACATGAGTGAGAGACTTGAGACGTAGCGAATCGAGAATTTTGTTGGATCCTGTGGAGGTGCAGTTCCGGTTCTGGGGGTCCCAAAAACCCCAACTTCTGCGGCGTAAAAAAATCCCAAGGTGATAGCCATCAACCACTAGGAACATCCATTAACCATGATGAATCATGATTATCCATTATGAAGACCTATTACAGCTCATTACATGAATTATTATCCATTAATCATTATTAAGACCTATGAAAGTCACCCCTTCCCCTTTCCTAAGTTGCCAGGATACGGCTCCGAGGCGCTGCACCTGGCCACTTTGCGGGACGTAGTCAGCACCATTCTGCAGGAAGGCTAAGAGCTCCTGGAATGGCGCCGAGCGCTGTGGAGTCAAGGGGGGACACACGAAATGTGTCTATGTATTATATAACAAATATATAATAGAATATATATATATAACAATATACGTAATATAATATAAAATACGAAACTAAAATATAAAAATAAAATATAACATAACATAATAAAATATAATATAATATAACATTATATATTATTATATTATAATATATAATATAATATGATATAATATAATATAATGTAATATAATATAATAAAATATACTATACTATAATATAATATATTACATGATATATATATAATGTATAATATGTAATATATATAATATATGTATAATATGTATAATATATATAATATGTTTATAATATGTAATATACGTAAAATGAATAATATATATATAATATATAATATATAATATATAATATATAATATATAATATATAATATATAATGTATAATATATGATATATAATATATATTATATAGTATATAATGTATAACATAATATATTATATATATAATATATTATATAATACATATATATATATTATATTATATATTATATAATACATATATATATAATATTTAATATAATGTATGAATAATACATAATATGTATATAATATGTATATAATATGTATATAATATGTAATATATGTAATATATAATATATAATATATATATAATATATAATATATAATATATAATATATAATATATAACATATAATATATAATATATAATATATAATATATAATATATAATATATAATATAATATAGTTATAATATAAAACATATATATAATATTTGATACAATATATGAACAATATATATAATATGTATGTAATATGTAATCAATGTAATATATGTAATATATTATATAATATAATATATAATATATGATATATATAATATAATATATATTATATAATATATAATATATAATATATAATATATAATATATAATATATAATATATAATATAATATATATAATATATATATAATATTATATATATTATATTATATATATATTATATTATATATTCATAACAGACATAATATATATAATATATGATATATGATATATAATATATAATATAATATATATAATCTAATATATATATAACATATTCTGTATATATAATATATTATATAATATATTCTGTATATATAATATTTAATTTAATACATTATATATAATATATTATATATACTGTACATATATATAATATTGTGCATGCTACTGGTACATACTGCAAGAATTTGAGACGTGTGCATGCGTAGAAAGGTCCGGTACCACCAACGGGATATGACAAACATTTGGATATCGTACATGTATCTACATATACATTTTATGTATACATATATACACTTGTTATGATCATTTATATACATGTTTATTATCATTCAAAAATATATAGCTACATATATGCATGTCACGCGTTGGGACTTTTCCTGTTGATTCAACATGGGTGATCTCCCATCCCGAGTCCTGTCGATCAGCCTCCACCATCCCATCTCTATTGAAGGCGAATCTGACGGAGTCAGGGTGCACTCTGAACCCCGAAATCCATAGCAAAGTGGGAAGGAAATATGAAGTAAATATCATCTACAACAGCCTTGAAACACTTTTCCTATCTTTTCGGGTTACTAGATGTACTAATTGTACTATATACAATTCTGCATCCAACTCAACATTCTGGCAGAATCAATCCCATTGGATAGTAGTGATATTGACAGGCTGTAGTTTATCCATTTGAACATCCGGCAACCCCAGTCGGATGTCGGATGATCCTAAAAATCCCAACAATCACAGCAATAGAACCGAGTGATAACATGTGACACTCAGCGATACCCTCTGGTAAACTAACATAGCTATTGAAAATGGCCATATGTTAAATTACCAGAGGGTACCCCCAAAAAAAATTATCCACACCAATCATTGGTTTCTGACAACCAAAAAAAATCACCAAAATGATCTTTGAGGCACCTCCTGAGTGACTCAGCTGCCTCCGTCTGCAAGAACGCAGAAGCCTAGGAAAACCAGACAGTTGAACCAAGAAAACAGTCTATGATATGTGTCTATAGTAAATTTCTATATGAATATACCGTATATCCATTCACAGCGCCGATTGACCTGCTGATTTCTAGCTTGTGAGAGTCACGGTGGTGCAGTGCAAGGCTCCCGCACCATGCCCTTGGTCAGCGCCTTGACGGCTTGTTCGATGGAGTCCTAGGCGGCACGTTGCCGATGAAAAGGTTGGCTGAAGTTGCTATGTGTTTATAGTCATATAATCATTTACGATATGTATGTACAATTATGTACAGATATATGTATAAAGCCAATGTCAAAATACTGTTGATCTGATACCTGTCAATTTATCTCTTACAGTACTTCATATGGGACGCTCAATTCATGATCTCCTTCAGCAAGGCGGCTGCGCCATGCTGCGCCCCTGAGCCCCCGGACGATGGTGGCCTTCTGCTCCTGGGAACTTTGCGCGAAGTCCGCCTTCTCCTTCTGCCGCATCGCCGTGGCCACCGTCAGGGCCTCCTCGGCCTGGAGAAGAAGATCTCCAGAAATGGTGGCCATACATCACGCACAATATAATTATCATATATGTACATATGAACATTATACAGTGTATATATATATATAGATATCACACATATACATCACATATATCAAACACAATCAAGAATTTGGTGGATGCCTTCATCCCAGACGGGCGCCTCCTGACGCTCTGTCTTGGCCGACTGGATCTGCGCAGTGAGCTGATTCGCTTCTTGGACCTGGCGAGTTTGGACCGGTGCCACGAGATCCATATGAATTATAGATAATCATAGAAGGAAATAGATATAGATAATTATAGATAATCATAGATAATTATAGATAAATATAGATAATTATAGATCATTATAGATAATTATAGATCATTATAGATAATTATAGATCATTATAGTGTATTCATAAATAGTTATCTATGTATATATATATATCCCTTTGCAATACTGTAGGTAGCTAAGAAAGAGAATGATCATCGCACCAAATGAGAAGAATTTCTTACAATGAACGGTCCAGTTGGTAAACTAGGCGAGCCATGGCAAACCTACATTTTTTGCAAAGTTTCCTCGCAACAACTCTGACGAGTCTCTGGCGTGATCCGAACAATTGGCCAAGACTCGGTAGATTCCAACGTCTTTTGCAGCGGCGGTAACTTCTCTTGGTTTGTCTTCAAGCTTTGGTCTGTTTCAGCAATGTTTTTTTTGCAGTAGCACTGGAACTTTTCGTACAATTTCTCTTCCGTGTCCTTGGCCAGGTGAAACCGCGCTGCGTGATGGAAATTACTGGGGTGTGACCTCTGGAGTTTCAAAATGAGCCAAGTCTCCCCTTCTTTCTCGACCTTCGCCTTCATGTTTTGAAGCAGATTCACTACCTATGCCGAAGTTTGGAACATGTCATTGTTTCCATGAGGAATCCTGAATCTGGCAGGTTTGCAATCTCAATATAACACAGCGAGATTGGTCCTGTTTGGTACAATGTCCGTGTCGAAACCTCCCAGTTGCGGGTTGTCTCTCATCTCGTCATTCCCAATAAATTTGGTCGAAATATACACACATATATGTTATGATATATTATTGATAAATACATATATATATATTTTTTATTGAGTGGATTCATCAAACCTGTAACAAACGAATTTTGTTTACTTCGTTCCTTTTACCCTAGTTTTCGAATTGATGTGGTACACTCAATAATCAACAACCTACTTGGGATGAATGGAAAACGAATTCACGGTGGCCTTTCTGATGGGATTCGCCCCACTGGCCATGGCCATGGCCAGGGGGACCAGCATGAGCCGCCATAACATGGCCATGCGAACCTTGGTGTCCGCCACATATGGTGAATTGAACGAGCAAAAATGATGACACAAAAACATTAAAAAATTATGGGGACATCACGGGATATTGGGATATTTTATGCAATACCATGGGAAATAACAACTCACCAGGGATACGCCGGCATACATTTCACCAAGAATAAGACATGGGTACCGGATATGGTGATTAACTTGTGGATTTTGGGTGTACCCTTACTTTTGGACAAACCCATGCACCAACAGTTGTTGCCGTTCAACACTTTTCACCAGTTCGACACAACATTGCGTTTTCGTAAAGTACCAGGCGACTTCAATATCAGGAAGCGATGTAGCGCGGCATCCCGGCCCTTCCAGAGAGCAGGAAACCCCGACACTGTAGCCAATGTCCACGCAAAAAAAAAAACATACAAATTCAACACCACCAAACCAACTGTGTGTAATACGAATGTGAAACAATTTTCTTGTGCCCAATAGTCCAAAGGTTTCTTTGAAGGGGATTTGATGAACGCATGTTTTTGATTCCTGAATGCGTAGCAATGGTTCCCGTTTCACTCTGGGGGTCTGGGTGTTGAGGGTGTGGTCGCTCGAAGTTGCCCAACCGTCCGCAACCGTCCGCAACCGTCCGCAACCGTCCGCGTGAAGGCAGTACCGTGCCTATGATAAGTTCTGCAAGAAGGGTCACTTTTGGAGGTTTCACATGTGGTTTTGCTGCGTTTCGCGTGGCACGCGTGGCACTTTGTGACATTCAGATGTCTCTGGCAACGTGTCGAAGGTCGTTTTGTGTGGCACACGCAATACTTTTTGGGACGTTTTTGTAAGATGGGTTGCAGTTTTTGTGGCACGCGCAGCACTTTGGACGTGTCCATCGTCATTTATGCGTGGCAGGCGCAGCACTTTAGACGGTCGTGTCGCGTGTTTTTTGCAAATCGCATTGTCTGGGCTGCGTCAAGTGCCGTGCCGACAAGGTGCAAATTCCGTGGCAGGCGTGGCATTTTGTGAGACGTGGTGAAAATTGACGGAGCCCTCGCGCGAAACATCGATTTTGGGGTGATCAAGGAAAATTCGTAGGAAAACGTCGATTTTGAAGCTACAAAGTGTGAAAATTGAAGGAAGTCTCGCATGAAATGCTCGTTTTGATGTTCCCACGTATCTCGTCTCGAGTCTCCGGTTTTCCTGTGGCTTCCACACCTGAGCTGCTTGCAGCCATGTTTGGTCACTCCACCATGACCCATCATCTTGATACCACTCGTCCATTCCATCGGTTTCCTCTGCATAACCGAGTTCGTTCATTTTTCCTTTCTTTCCAAAACCTTTACTTTTTGCCTTGCCTTTACTCTTTCCTTTTGTCCTTCCTTTGCCTTTGATCACTCCTTTCCCGTCGCCCTTGCCCTTTCCACTTCTATCTGGGCAGTTGGCCGAGATGTGACCAAATTTCTGGCACTTGAAACATCTTACTTTTGTCAAATCAGCATCACACATGCTTGCACCATGCTTTCTACTCCCGCATTTCGTGCACCTATGCCCTGAGTTTCCTACTGCATCCAAATTCCACTCCCCATTACCATCGCTAGCTGTCATGTCATAGTACTCCGCTGCACTCTCAGACTCATTTCCTAGCTGGTACAACTGTTTCTTGGGTTGGAATTCTGCAAAAGCCCTTTGTTGCTGTTCCCATCTCAACGCTGCAGCTCTAAAACTTTGGTACGTTTCCCCACTGGTATGGTGCAGACAAAACGTTCTGACACTTTCAGGCAGTGACCTCAACAACACTGCAACTAAGTCTGCTTCTGCAACTTGCAGCCCAGTGGCATCAATTGAACTTGCAAGAGTACCCAAGAGCTTGCCATAGCGTGCATTCTCATAGTCGATCTTTCGGATGGTGTCCGTCACAACAGTGCTTGGGCTTGTCTCACTGGCATACAAACTGAAACTCTTGTGTGCTAGGGCCGTGCGAAAACTCAATGCTTCACTGCGGGTTCTCAAACTGTATTCCATGGTGAGTTGTCTTATCAATTCAAACCCATTTGAACTTTGCAAATCCGGGTTCATTCCAACTTCTGAACTTAACAGGTTGACCCCTTCTGTGTAGGCATTAATTAATGTCACTGTCCTGGGGTGTGCGTTGAATGCACTCTTGACGATCGCCATCAGTCTCCTGCTCCTCGCTCTCTGTGCATTGTTGAGGCCATTCCAACCTAGAGGACTCGGCCAACGCTATCTCGGCTCCGAATTCCAAAGACACCTGCATGGCCCATGCAGTGAGATCGCTGGCATATGTCTGCCATCCAAGTATCTCCAGTTCTCTCGACGACCACTTGCCAGTGTCTGGCACTGGTGGGCTTCCAAGCCACTTTTCAGATTTTTAGAACACATCCAAGGAATACTCACCGCTACTTCCAGGCACATGCATCGGGTCTGTCCCATGCGGAAACATGCTGTCTCAACCTCAGTACCTGAATAGGGTCCAAACCTTGTGTCATCCTCAGGGATTTCCTGCATTCGTTCATTCTGTCGCCAACATTCAGTCCTTGACAACCTGTCAGTCCTTGTCGTTCCAGTCCTACCTGACCTAGACCTTGACTTAAGAACCACAGCCTTGACCTGAACATGCAGTTCCTCACAGCAGTTCCTAAACATGCACCTTGCTGCACTCCACGGCCTGTGCAACCTTGAAATCCTTGACATCCTTGAAAACCTTGGCATGCACTTTGCTGAACTCCACAGCCCGTACATCCACCAAAACCTTGACATGCACCTTGTTGAAACCCACAACCTGTGCAACCTGTCAAACCTTGGAAACTTTGTCCATTTAAGCTATTGTTCTTTGGACTACTTTGCCCACAAAAACCATAAGTCCTTGGATCCATAAGACCTCCATGTCTTCTTTCAGGACCATACCCAGTCGTCATCGGCAGCATCTGTGGACCAGCAACTCCGGCCCCAAAAATGGAACCTCAAAGCGCACATGTGGTGATCAGCTGTCTCCGGGTAATCAGCTGTCTCCGTTCCCTGGCTCCAAATGTGGCGATTCCCTAGCCCCAATGCGGCGATTTCCGATGCAGCACGACACAGGCAACATTCACCAATCCTTCGCTACTCTGCGCTACTCCACTCCGTACTATATTTTAATTCAATTACACAATGTAATTAACACGATATCGAAACGATGGCGGAGTAAGAAAGCCTTCAATACGTCACCTTGCCAAATGTTTTCCTAGCAGATTTCTACTCCCATCCCGATTTAAATTTATACTATTAATTAATAACGGGATTGATTGAAAAGATCATGATTCATATTCTTTCTGGAGTCTAGAGGGGCAAGGAGATTTGCCCCCGATGGCAGTCTTTTCGCGCAGATTTCTTGGCAAAATGGACCTTCGACCGCTTGTTATGGTGTACCCGCTACACTGGGATCGCCTGTTTTCCTGTCAGTACCACAGTTGAAATTGATACCTTGACTAAGCAGCCGCATCCTCCAAAAGTGGTACAAGACCTTGCAAAGCCTGAATTTGCTCCTTCGCCAGATTCACCCTTTTTTCAGCAAGATACCATTCAACTTTGGATGACCGTTCATGGTATTAATTTGGAATTTCCAGCATGGAAGAGATGGGGCTACGGTTTCTGTTCAAAGCCATTCGGCGATTCTGGTTTGCAGATTTTTCAGCCTTTAAGCGGTCCAGATCAAGATCGCCGCCGTGCCTTTGGAGTGGCTTTTGTACACATTTTGAAAATTTGCCCAAAGCCTGTGCAGATTCATGTTAATTTTCCGGACGCATATCAACATGGCAAGAAGCGCAATCCAAACCTTGGATGCCTCATAAGATTGACCATGTTGATATTTTATCTTGCTTACGTGATTTGTGCCAAAGCCGCTCATTTGCGGATCAAGTCGTGTTTTGTCCAACGCAAACATTCATTTCACTATTTGACACTGCTCAGACCCTGGCCAAGCAAGGTTCTGATTTGCACCAGACAGACTCGTACAAACAAGCTTTCCAGTGGTATGTTGAACATTCCAATTGTGTTTTTGATCGTCAGAAGTTTATGCTCAACATTTGTTTGGCCCGAGATCAGTTTGCTCAACAAAACAAATTGACGTATTCTCCAAAATCCAAAGCTGGTACCTTTTAGTCAGACCTTGAAATGTTCACAGGACCATTCTCCTGAATATTTAATTCATCCTGCCGATTTTGCCGGACACTGTCATTCGTTAGGGCCCTTTCCTGCATTTAGCCGTAAACTTAGGTTTGTCTTTGGGGAGCCTTTTTACAGGGCGCTGATCTGGTACCTCACCCAGTTGAGGTTTCCAGACACTGGCCTTGAAGCCACAAAAGGCATCACATTTTTAGAATTTGCGATGGATTTCGAGTGTGCGTCCGGTATCATCTTGCCAGGATCGTCACAGCGCAATAAGAACAAGGATGGCTCTGTTAAAAGAAGGGGTGCCTCCATGCAGATTTCTTTTGTGCAGGATTCTCATGTGGAGCCCGACCAATTTCTTGCACATAAAATTATTCAGACCAATGATTCTTCAAATAAACCTCGATTTCTTTGACTGCTTGCGGCAGATCTGGCAACTGGTCGGAAAGATCCCGTTTCCTTAAATTTAGTTGCGCAGGCAAACCGGAAACAAAGGCAGAAGCGATGAGCAGACATCGCATCCAACAAGAAAGACTCAAGCATAAGGACAAATTGGTTTTCGAAGCCTCTCCTGTCCCCCTGGGAGAGCGTGCGCTTGTTTTTGCTGATGCATTTAGGACTGTACTTCGACATAGTAATTCACGTTTTCATTTTCAGCCCCTCGATCATGCCACTGCTGTGTGCAGGGCTCTCAAAGGTCATAGTTTGCCTCCTACAGTATTGCCGGTCTTTTAGTCAGACCTTTGTTGCTGTGTCAATCCACGATTTCAGAAGAAATTTCCAAAGCGGCACATCGCTTTCATGTTGGTGAATGGGAAGCCGCTTCCCAATGGCATTTGTCATGGTTTCCGGCTTAT